AAGAAATTTTTAAAATTCTGAAAAAAATTAAAGAAATTATCAAGTTTCAAAATCCGAATCAAACTGAAAAATTTTGCAGTTACCATTTAAAGATGTTTATGCTTGAATTTTATGATAGACATAAAGACTTCTCTCAAGGAAATAAGGAGACTTTGTTCAAGGAAAGTATTAAAGAACTTATGAAATGTTTCAGTGATGGAGAAATCAAAAATTATTTTATTCAGAAAGATAACATTTTACGTTTTGTTTCAGACAATGAAAAATTATTTGTTGCTCAAGAACTACGTAAATTACAAGAAAAATTCTAATTATAGAAATTTTGAATATATCTTCCTTATAATGAGGTGCTGTTATTGAAGACAATAGATGCTAGTACCTGTGCCATATATTTATGACGCAGCATACATGCTACATAATGTGCAATATTCTTAAATGACGTGTCTTTTCGAATGATGTTAACTTTGAATATATTTGTAAATATATTTAGGCAGCAAATACTTTGGACCACTTTTTGTCTATATCAAAGATATTTTTTTTTCATGGCATTATACATTATGCATGTTCAATATGCACGTATTGTACTTAGAATCAAGTATGTTTTTTTCTGCATGTTTTAATTGCTTGTTAAAGCTGAACATGACTCGTAAATAGACATACGCCATATTATTTTCTTATCTCCTATATCAGCAAGGGTGTATATAAAACCCTCGCATTCGTTACATGTACACGTGATTCCAGATTTTAGTGTATAACTATTGTATATCTCACGTTGTTTCTTTTTGTTTACGTTTTATTTCATTGAAAGTGCATTTGTTTATTAGGTCACCTGAGTCACTCAGGTGACCTATTGCTATCCGTTTTCGTCCGTCGGCGTGCGTCGTCCGTTGTGTATTAACATTTAAACATTTTTAGCTTCTCTGAAACCGCTAAACCAATTTCATCCAAATTTGGCATATAGCATCCATGGGTAAAGGGGAACAAAAATTGTGAATTTCATAGCCCCTGCCCCCTTGGAGCCTGAGGGGTGGGGCTAAAACCACCAAAATTAATGCAATCTTTAAAAATCTTCTTCTTTACTCCTGGACATGAAGCAGTCAAACTGTTAACATGATTGTAATAAGCATTGAGTCCACCAGGGTCAGGGGTTCTGGTGCTAGGGTGGGGCTATATAGATCATATAGTGAAAATGCATTGTTTCTTTGAAAATCTTCCTCTCTGCTCCTGGGTATTAAATAAAGTAACTAAGTACATAGTTATGAAGAGCAAGAGTGCATCTTCCAAAATTGTGAATTTCATGGCCCCAGGGTCAGGGGTTCTGGTGTTAGGGCGGGGCTCTATTGATTATATAGTGAAAATGAATTAATTCTTTGAAAATCTTCTTCTCTGCTCCTGGGTATTAAATAAACTAACTTAGTGCATAGTTATGATGAGCATGGTTGCCTCTTCCAAAATTGTGAATTTCATTGCCCCGGGGTCAAGGGTTCTGGTGTTAGGGCGGGGCTGTATTGATTATATAGTGATCATATAGTGAAAATGCATTAATTCTTTGAAAATCTTCTCTGCTCCTGGGTATAAAATAAACTAAGAACATAGTTATGGTGAGCATGGCTGCCTTTTCAGAAATTGTTAATTTCATGACCCCTAGGTCAGGGGTTCTGGTGTTAGGGCGGGGCTCTATTAGCTATATAGTGAAAATGCATTAATTCTTTGAAAATCTTCCTCTCTCTCTCCTGGATATTTAATAAACTAAGTACATAGTTATGATGAGCATGGCTGCCTCCTCAGAAATTGTGAAAATTCCAATTTGTAATCCAAAGAGTATTCTAAAAGAGAGTCAATAGATGCCCAAGAAGGAGGAATAGAGTATTATTTTCAGGCAAAACAGGGTATTTTGTGCTCAGAGGGTATTCATGGTCCCGGATATAAAAGTACTTTTCATTGGCTAACTTAACATTGCCATACCACCTACGCTTAGTCCGTAGGTCTGTCCGTTGACCTATGAACCCCAACATGGCACCACCTACCAATCCAGGTATACCTTCATTAATAATATTTATGGACTCAGTCTCCATCTCCTCGCACCACAGGAGTTCTAGCCCTAGGCTCTTTTACGTATATGTATCTGCTTCAAAGTTCCCAATTTTATTACTCTTATTCAAGAATCTTAATAGTAACTTCACATTTCCATTCAAATTTTTATTACTTAGTATCAATGGGCTTGATTGATCTATTCTGATCAATTCCATTACAAATGAGTTTACAAAATTATAGTTCATTGTATCAATAACAACATCCAATTTGTTTTAACAATATAATTATAGTTCATCATGCTAAAGTCTCTTTTCCAATTATAAAATCACTGCATGTGGTACACAAACAATGTATATCTCCGTTTAACAAACTTTTATTTTATTTTACTGTCATTATTAAGAACTAGAATAATTATGTTATGAAAATAGTCCAAGTTTAAAATGTTCAGATAAAATGTCCATTCTAAACCCTGTAGGTTTACAAAATGCATAATTTCTTTCAAAATATTTTTTCTACTACTGGTTATAAAGCAAAGAAACAAGTGTATAGTTATGATGAGCAAGGGTGCTTCTTCCAGAATTGTGAGTTTATGGCCCCTGGGTCATATGTTCTGTTGTAAGGATTGGACTTTATTTATTTAATAATATAGTGAAAATGCATTACTTTGAAAATCTTCTATGCTTCTGGGCATATTCGATGCAAACAGTAAAAGTTTTAATATGCAAAGGTATTTTTACCAGAATTTTGAACACCTGGACCATTAAGTCTAGTGTTCTGGTCCTGGGCAGGGCTCTATTAATTTGTATTCTGTTGAGCAAAGTTATTCCACTTTGCCATTCACCTTTGATAATTAATCACTGTAAACAATGTATTTGAAAGGTTAATAGAATAAGAGAATAGTGCAAGAATATTTATTGTATAACACAAAAAGTACTTTCGTAGTTTTAATGATCAGGTAGACTTGGAAATAATAGATGAATAAAAATGAGACAAAAATAACTTATCATTTTAAATGTTCTTCAAAGGCCAAGAGAGACCAATGTGAGAAGTAATAATACATGTATGGGGTTAAAAAATAGACATTCTGATAATAGTCTGCATGGTAATACATGTACATATAGTGACAAACGGGGACAGATAGATACTAAACCAATTATTTTGTTGATGCTATATAATCATACTATTTTTCTTGCTTTTGGGCAACAAAGCTGCATTTATCAGTTTATGGATCCTCTAAATGTTGTATTTTACTCAGGTGACCGCTAAGGCCCTTGGGCCTCTTGTTTTTCATGTTGTAATGCATTGATTTGTGCAGTTGGGTGCGAATATCTTTTGATAACCTTTTCTCTGACATGGCACAGGCATACAGAAGTCATTTTTGTCGCGCCCAAGTATAATAATGACAATGAAGACGACTTGTGCTCAGGTAGAACCCGTAAAGCAAAATACATTGAACCGTGCTTATATAGAGGTCGTGAGAAGACTAATATGCCGACATATACATGTAGCTCTCTCCCTTTTATGAATCGTGTTCATTAGCTTTAAGTATAGTTTTTAAATTAATGGTTTTAATGTACACAGTGCTTAAATATATATTATACAATTATTGCTGTTTTTTTTAGGTCGATACGATGATCTAGACATGAGGAGTACAATATTCACAGAGCCTGAAGTGCGATGTGAATATTGTACTTCAAAGGGGGCTAAATCATCGTATCGAGTTAAAAAAAAAAACCCAGTAATAATTGTATATTTGCCAGTCTTGAATTTCCATGTTTTTCCTTCAGATAGCAGCTTTGCAACAATCCTGCCTTAGATTTATTGTTTCTACATCGCGCCTAAATTAGATTTTAAATATCCCAAATTAATACAACATTTACTGGTTTAGTTTATCTTAACCCCGCCTCTCTCATTGTGTTTGGCTAGGACTTCAGCAGATATAAATAAGGAACATAGTATGGATTACTTTTGTATCATTTAATCATTGAATCATATAATGAAACAAATATTGCTTTTTCAGTCAATTCGATGATTTAGCCACCTGAGGAGGACAGTATTCACCAAGCCCAAAGGGCGAGGTGAATATTGTACTCCTCTGGTGGTGACTGAAAAAAACAGTAATAAATGTATAATATTTGCCAGTCTTTAACTTCCATAATATTCCTTCAGATAACATTATAAACCAAAACATCGCAACACATTTTGTGTGGCTACACTGTGTTACCATGGTAGCCATGAAAATCATTTTTAGAATTATATTGCCAAAACCTTATTAATTAAGGTCAAATATTTTTATTGTTTTTCTTGTGTTGTTGATTTTGATCATGTAACACCTATTATTAATAAATACTGAGCGTTTTTCGTCATTTTTCAGGATTCAAAATATATTCCAAATGCATTCATGATTACCAGTTAGATATTTATTCCAATATTTTTTTTTTATAGCTCAAGTGACATCAACATGTAATATTTTTGTGACAGTGATTCCTTAATAAAATGTCTTATTCATGTGGTTACATTTTTCTTTAAGGAGAAGTGCCAGCAGGGTGATCGAATTGCCTATAGTGCAATATAAGAAAGTGAAATTTTTAATCTCAATTATAATAAAATATTCTTTGATATTTCATTTCACATAAAAATGTATTTTATGTTAAATCTCCAGAATTTACTACAATCATACAATGCTTGATATAATTCGCCTATGAAATAGCAACATTACAATCGTTTTTGCATGAATTTGATCAGGTCAAATATTGTGGATTTATACATATAAAAATGGTGTAAAATATGAAATAACATGTGTAAAGCATGTAATAAAAAGAATCTCCCATGGGTGGGAGGTTAGGTAGGTAAACATGTAAGTAAGAAATGACACAAGAGAATTCAGGACATAGGTCTTCCCTCAGGGTGATATTCATAAAAATATCCAAGATACAATGTAAATGCTTAAATTAAAACAACAAATGAAGTTATTTTTCACCAGTTTTATTACTTCATTAGTATTATTCTTTTAATCATAAATTGAGAGTGTATTGAAATTCAGAGATAGATCAAAGACCATACATTGATATTCACCTGAATATTTTACCTTTAGCTTTCTAAAATATTACCTAGATATTACACCTAGTTAAATTTCTTCAAGTTAGTGAAAATTTGAAGATCTTGAAAATTCACAAAGTAACCCAGACCTTTAAAATTTTCAAAATGTACACTGTGAAGAATTAGCCATGCACTGACTTGACTAATAATCATCATAACTTTCAAATGTGCTTTGTGGTATTACAAGCTATAACATAATCACAAAGAAATTTTCACTTCTTCATTTTCTGTCAATAAACAGGTTTTCTCCCTTGTCTGGATTTAATATCTGAATCTTTCATTCCATTACTATCTGTCAGGAAAGGCTGTTTTAGCAAGATATCAATGGCTACTAACATAGAAAATAATTTTGAAACAAAATAATATAAATAGCTAATAAAAATTGTCCTCATTTCTCTTTTGTTGCTTCCTGTTGTTCAAATATGGGGTAGTTATTTAGGACATCCTCCCACGTCCTGACCGCTGTGGACAGGGCCTTCACGATCAAGGGGATTTCCTCCAACTGGTAAAAATAGAACATGACCTCATTATAAACTCAGCTTTTTTTATCTAAAGAATCATTTAAACTGCAGTTATTTAGTTAACATGTAGTAGTCAACTGTGAATATTTGCATTAAAAATAAGTAAATTTAATGATTCCAGGTCAGACACTAAAAACAGTTGAATAATATCTCAAACTTCAAATTCTCAAACACCATGGATATGTAAAAGCGATTTCAAAGTCGCCAACAACTTAATATGTTTTAAACCTTGATATCTCAACTCATCAGATATCTGGAAGTTTTTTTCCTAGGTCCAATCAGGTTTGAAATAACCAGGTTTGACTGTATACATTGCACAGAGGATTTAAGCACAAGATAGCATCTCTTTGTACAATAATTTGTGTATTTTCAATAAAATGGAGAGGACCCCCACCCCCCTCCCCCTGATAATGAAGTTCCTGGAAATAGTCAATTGCATCTACTGTATTAAAACTTTCCATACTGATAACATTGCACCTTACTGTACAAGTATATATATTACATTACATATACACTGATGTTAGCTGCTAAAACAATTGCGTTATGGCCAAGTCATAAATTATTCATCTTCTTACATGTGCATCCATGGGCACTAGCTAATATATTTGCCCATGTTCTTTTTTGATCCACAAACATAATCCAGAAAGGTCCAAATACAGTCAATCCTCATTATCTCAAATTCTAAGGGACAAAGAGAAAAGATTTCCAAGGGTTCAAGATACTGAAGTTAAAGTATATAAAGAAAATGTGTTTGGAACTTCTAACTCATTTTGACATATCCACAGTATTCGAGATATTGAGATTCGAGATACCAAAATTCAACTGTATTTATCTAATTGCTGGTTAAACTTACTGGTGCTCGGATCTGTTTCATGGAGTCCCTTTCTCGTAGTGTGGCTGTGTGGGGGGCATTCAATGTGTCAAAATCTATGGTCACACCATATGGTATAGCAATGGCATCTGTCCTGGCATATCGTTTTCCTATGGAGCCACTGCTGTCGTCTACGCGGTGAGAGATGTCATTCAGAGTCAAGGCCTTGGCTAAAAAAGTTCAAACAAGTAGTGTTCACTCTCTGACAAAAAAAAGTTCAAATAAAAATAAATCACTAAGATGGATATTTTACAACATATGTACAGTATATACATGTACCGGTATGTATGTTAATTAAATGATTACATTTTACATGACAGTCAGCAAGTTAAAACTTGTCTCACTCAAAGCATCTTCAACTACACCGAAACTTGCTTATACATGTAGCCAGGGATTAACACTTTTGATTCCTTAAAAACATAATTTGTTTTATCTGTCAGTAATAAGTTTATAACACATTTTAAAACTACAGGAAATGAAATTCACTTCGCTTTAAGCATGAATTCATTATAAGCAAGTTCACTGTAATCAGGTTTTAATGAACAAATCTGAAAGGCTAAAAAAAATTTTTTTGCCTAAATCATTGTAAATCTACATGTACATCATATTGAGCACAATAGCAAACATTTTTTCCTTTTCTGTTTCAATTTAATGGTCAACTGTGCTATTATAAACTAAAGAATCATGTATAACAATGTAAATACTTACAGAGCTCTCTGACAAACGGTATGAAGCTATCCTTGTTACTGAGGGGCAGGACAGAGCATTTATAGGGAGCAATAATGGCAGGAAGTGAAAAATACTGCAAAAAATTAGGGATCAGTATCAAACATTCTATGGATTTAAACATAATCAACCAGCATTTTCTGAAGTAAACTGAAAAGATTTCAACACATTTATTACAAAAGATTGAATATTAAAACATTATCTCACAAATTTAGCAATATAGGAATTTTTTCTATTGAAAAGAGGGGGATAACTCTTGAGTATTCTTTTTTTTTTTTTATAAAAAGTGAATATATTGAAATGCCATTGTCCTTCAATGATGTACAGGCAAAAATAGAACAATCTAAATTTAGTTATTATATTTAGTTACTGTAGATCCCTTTATTTTCGCGACACCTTATTTTCGCAATATAGCTATTTGGTATTTATAAGCGAGACAAAATTTTCGCGAGCTACGCTCTTTGTTGTATATAATCTTTAACAAATATATGCAAGAATAAAATTTTCACGAGCAGACAGACTCGCGTAATTACGCGAAAATAAAAGTTCTCACGAATAAAAAGTGATTTACAGTATTATCATGACAAAAAATGAGTCCTTGTTGTGTCTGTTAAAACACTTACCGATCTCTGTTCATCACCATCTCGTATTTTAAAGTTGTGTTCAAACATGGCGTACATGACACGACCAATCCCAAACGAGGGTTCTATAACTGAGGGCACCAATTCTTCAACTGTGACAATCAATGTATAAAAATTAAGAGGTATGTAATTATGCACATGAGAGAGAAAGAATGTTATTTTCATCCCCCATGTTTCTTTCACTTTAACCACACAACTGTTGCATAAACAGGGAGATAAATTAATCTCTGTTAAATTTATGACTTTCACAGTTACAAAAGTTATTTCCCTTTTTGGGGTAAATATGGAGTCAATCAGCGTAACCCACTGTTTTACCTTTATAATATTACTAACTTTATGGGACAGTGTCATACAAATTAAATCTACATGTATAGGTTCACTATGTTTTCTTTCATGCCCCATCCATATCATGGCAATAGAGGAACAGTACAAAAGAGTCTGAAAGATATTTTCAGGGAAGTTACAAAGGATAATAGTGAGAAAAATGAGCTACCGCCAACAAAAAAAAGATAACTCTTAAGAATGTGAAAGTTGTCTACTTATCACATTTGCAATTTGCATACTGATGAAAAGGGGTAAAAATGAAACAGGAAACAGAAATTTTCCATGCATACAGTATCTGTTGTTTTTAAGGACATACACAATGTAGTTTTGAGCTCTAATTTCTTATTCTTTATATAATTAAAGAGTAACACATGAATTTTCATCACTTGATATCTATTCAAAACTCATGGTAATGTATTACACTATACTAATTTTTTGTCTAAGAACTTCTTGTAGTACTATGATTTTGAATTAAGAATTTCTTGAAAAATTACAAAGTAAAGTACAGTTGAACTTCGGTATCTCGAACACGGATATCTCCAATACAGTGGAATTGATTGGAAAGTCCCAAGCCCTTTTTCTTTAAGTATTTTACCCCCAATATCTCGAAACCACGGATATCTCGCAGTTTTTTCTTGGTCCCATCGAGTTCAAGATAACGAGGTTTGACTGTACAGGGGTCAAAGAGTTGTAAGGTACATTGCATGCAACCTTAAGTTAGGGTAAAAGTAAACAAGAGGCCCAAGGGCCTTAACGGTCACCTGAGTATAATACAACAATTTAGAAGTTAAATACACTGATAGATGAAGCATTGTTGCCCTAGCCCCCCCCCCCCAAGAACCCCAAAAACTGAGGCCATATATTTAAAAATTTTGGAAGAGGCATCCTTGTCTATCATAATCATGCACTTAGTTTGTTTAAATAATCTCCAGTAGCAGAGAAGAAGTTTTTCAAAGAATCAATGCATTTTCACTATATAATCAATAGAGCCCCGCCCTAACACCAGAACCCCTGACCCTGGGGCCATGAAATTCACAATTTTTGAAAAGGCATCCCTATGCGTTTAAATAGTCTCCAGTAGCAGAGAAGAAGATTTTCAAAGAATCAATGCATTTTCACTATATAATCAATACAGCCCTGCCCTAACACCAGAACCCCTGACCCTGGGGCCATGAAATTCACAATTTTTGAAAAGGCATCCTTATGCATCATAACCATGCACTTAGTTTGTTTAAATAATACCCAGGAGCAGAGAAGAAGATTTTCAAAAAATTAAAGCATTTTCACTATATAATCAATACAGCCCCGCCCTAACACCAGAACCCCTGACCCAGGGGCCATGGCTTTCACAATTCTGGAAGAGGTCCACCTCCTCCTCATAACTATGTACTTAGTTACTTTATTAAATACCCAGGAGCAAAGAAGAAGATATTCAAAGAATTAATGCTTTTTCACTATATAATTTATAGAGCCCCGCCCTAACACCAGAACCCCTGACCCTGGGGCCATGAATTTCACAATTTTGGAAGAGGCACTCTTGCTCATCATAACTATGTACTTAGTTCCTTTATTTAATACCCAGGAGCAGAGAAGAAGATTTTCAAAGAATTAATGCATTTTCACTATATAATCAATACAGCCCCGCCCTAACACCAGAACCCCTGACCCTGGGGCCATGAAATTCACAATTTTGGAAGAGGCACTCTTGCTCATCATAACTATGTACTTAGTTCCTTTATTTAATACCCAGGAGCAGAGAAGAAGATTTTCAAAGAATTAATGCATTTTCACTATATAATCAATACAGCCCCGCCCTAACACCAGAACCCCTGACCCTGGGACCATGAATTTCACAATTTTGGAAGAGGCACTCTTGCTCATCATAACTATGTACTTAGTAACTTTATTTAATACCCAGGAGCAGAGAAGAAGATTTTCAAAGAATTTATGCACTTTCACTATATGATCAATACAGCCCTGCCCTAACACCAGAACCCCTGACCCTGGGACCATGAATTTCACAATTTTGGAAGAGGCACTCTTGCTCATCATAACTATGTACTTAGTAACTTTATTTAATACCCAGGAGCAGAGAAGAAGATTTTCAAAGAATTTATGCACTTTCACTATATGATCTATATAGCCCCACCCTGGGTTCTACTTTCACTATATGATCTATATAGCCCCACCCTGGGGCCAGAACCCCTGACCCTGGGGCCATGAATTTCACAATTTTGGTAGAGGGCTCAATGCTTATTACAATGATGCCAACAGTTTGACTGCTTCATGTCCGGGAGTAAAGAAGAAGATTTTTAAAGATTGCATTATTTTTGGTGGTTTTAGCCCCACCCCTCAGGCCCCGGGGGGGGGGGGGGGGGGGGGGGGGGCAGGGACCATGAAATTCACAATTTTTGTTCCCCTTCACCCATAGATGCTATATACCAAATTTGGTTGAAATTGGTTGAGCGGTTCTAGAGAAGAAGTTAAAAATGTTCAAAAGTTAACGCACGACGGACGACGCACAACGACGGACAAAAACAGATAGCAATAGGTCACCTGAGTGACTCAGGTGACCTAATAACCTGCTGAAAAATTCAAACTCACAGATATTGGAGAAGAACTATAATAAAGCCAACCCCCATTGATTTGTAGGGAAGTAATAATTCACCTACCATGTACTTTTTTCTTGTATCGTTTGACCGCTATCATGTCTGGTTTAAGTGTAAAGGTTTGTTCACCAACTGTTATCTGAGATTCACTGAAAAAAAAAGAGAAAAAAACTAAAATGTGAACAATTTCAACAAACATGTACCATGCAGGGCAGAATTTGACAGTCATGGCTTTTAAAGTCAACCATCCCTGAGAAGTTTATCTCTCATTTCAGATATGTCTTGGGCATGGACACATCTTTGTCTCAAAAAAATCAATCATTTAATTGACAGTGATTGCTATAAATTAAATACATCAGCAAAAAAGCTTCATTTTGATCTCTGGGTTTGCCTTGTTATATTTTTAGACGTGAAACATGCATATTAACACCCACCCATTGCTGGAAAAGTCATTCTCTATTTTATCACAGTCCGCAGAAGTTAGTCCAGCAAGATACTCTCCGATTACTTTTGCATCTTTCTTGAAAACTTTACCCAGAGTTCCTTTATTAGACGTACATTCCACAACATCCACATCTTTGTATGTCGTGTTAAGGATAACAAATAATTTTTTTCCCTTGCTACCAAAATAATACCGGTTAAACATAATTATAATATTGCCATCATGCAACATTTTGAGTACTAAATTACAGCATTATTGATCATTATATCTACAGCTGCTTCATAAAACAGTAAAAAATTCTACAGATCAAACCTTTCACTGTGTATTAGGTTACTTTTTGTACACAGCCCAATGATTATACATGTAATCTATGTGTTATTAATATATAAAAATCTTAAATTCTCTAAATTTTAATCTGTTCAAATTTCCTAAAAATTATCATATTGTAAAAACTGTCTAATCCGACACCTAGCTGTGTGAATTCTTTGTTTCTATTCCTACTTTACTTTTTTCCACCTTCTTTACACTGTTCAATCCGATAACCTGTCTCTTAATTCTGACACAAAATTTGTGTTCAAGTGTATGTCAGATTAGACAGGTGTATCATTGTATAATACACTAAACTCACATGAAAATAAGCAAAATTTTGCAAATGCTAATGCACAAAATTTGCTTTCGAGAAGCTCAACAAGCAACTAATTTATGTGAATATTCCATAATTGCACCAAAATGGCAAAGTTTAATCTAACTGAACTACATGTACATGTAATTTCTCTGATAAATTAAAGGATATGGGTGTTTGAAGCCTTTTTTCTGCCACTAATCTGGTTCCTGTGGCCTTTGTATGCTGGTTCAAGTCATAACAGGATCTGTCTGCACATCCCACACACTCCACCCAGCCCTGAAAATGAACCAGCCGGTCATGTTTTAAACTTTCTTCTTCATCTATTTTATGCTAGAAATTAATTATTCAACATAAAATGTGAGAGACAATGTCAAAATAACAGTATATTCTATCTCCTTGTGATATTCAGAAGAGCTGAACAATTAAAAATCTGCTTAAACTATGCATACTTTAATTTTACATGGAGTCTTAAATTGTAAAAAGTATATAAACCAAACAAAACAATAAACACTTTTTTTTCAAAATATAATTTTTTTTTATTGGTTGAATTGATTATGTAGAGCCTAAATAGAGTTGTTCCCCTTCCTAACTACATGGAATGCTAGATATAACAAGTATATTTCTGTCAAATTTCATTCTATGAAGATAAAATTCAATTTGACTTTACTGCTTAAAACTTCCTTGATACCTGCTTGACCTCCACTGCCTTAAAAATGCTTGAAAATTTTTAGACCTTCACATAAAGAAATAAAACAGTTATATATTGTCTATCACAATTACTCCTCACTTACATAAGTAGTTTTGCACTCCGCGTCCCAGCAATCACACGCGTAATGAGCCATCTCATTAGACATGTGTTGTCGGAATCTCAGCTTTTTCTTGTCAATGCCACACCTCAGCATAAATAATTGGATCCTCCCCATAAAATAACCGAGTGTTTCATTGGCTATCAGTTTCTGAAAAAGGAAACACTTTCAGCTAATATAAAACAACACGGACAAAAAAATATTGAATAAAACGTTTCCTTCCATTTATTTATGTCTTTGGAAAGATGAGATCCATTGAGAAGAATAATGGAGCTTGCTTTAAGAAAAAATTACCTTCAACAAGTACACCTAATCTAAATGGCAGATCATTTAACTCTTTCAAGACACAATCCACCACTAAGGATCCACCACTTACCTGTTTCACGGCCTCCCCCAGTTTCCACACCTGAGGGGATTTACCATCCATCTGATTACATGCAGAGTATAACACCACATCTAGATCCGCCACTGTATGGAACTTTGGGTGGTCTTTCAGAACAGGATCACAGAAATGTTCTATTTCAGCCATTGTGAACTCCCTGTAAAATGTGGATTCAAATAATAAAATAGTTTGTACAAACATTTTATTTTTGGCACCAAAGTTTACTTGATTGCGTTCAACATTACATGTATATCAAAATTTGGTCTGATGATCAAACCTTAAAAATGTTGTTGGAAAAGATGCTCTTACATGTATATACAGCCTAATCCACATACATTTATATAGAAATTGCTTACTTTGAAATATTGCTGATTTTGAAGTAAAACTCAATCCCCAGTTTCAGTTTCTCATTATCTTTGCAATAAAATATCGGACTTTTTTCAAATAAATCTTAAATGAAGAAACTATTTCAATTCACTTCTGAAGTGTCATAAATTTAACTGTGTATTGTTTATGTTGATTCAGGTTTGTCTTCGTGTTTTTCAGATCTTGGTCAGGATTTTAAAACGTCTTCATAGACCCATTTAGCTTATTTTGAACTTCGGTTATATTGAAAAAAAAATGTGTTGGACCCTCGCTCACCTGAGAACTTTGGCTAGGAAAAGCAGAAATCAGCCTTCGGCTCAGGTGAGCTAACCAGTATTTTTTAACAAGTGGACACTTCTTAAAATTCATTTAATAAACAGCCAAAGAGATTTTAAGGTAAAAACAATGATGTTCTCAGGTAAATCATTGTTTACATAATTTCTTCATCTCCTTACCTGACTCTTAATAGTCCAGATCTAGGTGAAATTTCATTTCTGAAGGCGTTACCGATCTGAGCCGCAGCAAAAGGGAGCTTGCCCTGGTTAAAATTCAGAAGTCTCTTGAAATTAACGAAAATACCCTGAGCTGTCTCTGGACGGAGGTACCTGTCAATATGAAAAAAAGATCTCATTTTTTAAGAAAATTAACTTTTACATCCTTCAAATAAAAAGATTTATCTCCCCTACAAATGACTGAACTTAAATTTGAAATTTCACTATCACAATTTTTGCTCTTCCAAGAAAGAAGCATTTAATATATAGCTGTATACAAAGTTTACTTGCACAAATCTCAAAGTTTATAAATATATAATACATCTAAAACTCCAGAAAGGATAATTTCTTAATTAATCAAAATAAAATCTTTACCCTTTTATGTGCCCAGTGGGTCCAATGGCAGTGGAAAACATTAAATTAAATTCCATTGGATCTGACAGGTCATTATTTGTGAGGGGGGCCTTCATGTTGTACTGTGCAATGGTTTTTCCCATATCCTCCATTGACATTCCATCAATCTGAAATAGTGGCTTAGATATACAAAGTGGTTTGGTCTCCATGAATGAACGGTATCTAATGATTAATTAGTTAATTTCTTAATAATTTACAAGTATCATCATTTTAAAATACATATTTCAAGCATGATGATTGTACATATCTACTCGTTAAGGTACACCTACATGTCTCTAGGTCTTCTAAAATTTTAGATTTTTTCACCTGTTTTGATCATTGACAATACATCTTGAGGTAATTTAAGAAACAGGTATGTCCAAATCTTTTTCTTTTCTTTAATGTCATTCAAACATAGAGTGTTTGCTGAAAATGTGTTGCCTGCAGGTATTTCCGTGAGTTTGATTAATCAATTAGACACACAGATAGATAGACAGCTAGCAGACAGACAGATAGACAGCTAGACAGACAGATAGACAGCTAGCAGACAGACAGACAGACATACAGACAGCTTGCAGACAGACAGACAGATAGACAAAGTGATCTCTATGTGGCTGCAAGCCCTGCAGATAGCACAATAAAGACACAATGACAGTACAAGGGACTTCAAAATTTTTGACACTAGTGAAAGCGTAATAGACATTGGGAAAAGTTAAATTTAACAATTCAGTTCAAGTATATATTGAGAAATAATTTCAAGAAAAAAATCTTTTAGGAGACAAAATCTCAAAGAAACTTCGGTTTGTTAAGAATGTTCGTCTACAGTATTGTTAAGAACATTGGCCTATTGTAAATTGTAAACTGTACACAAATCCACTGGAATGTGGATTGGAGTAGAAACAGTTAGAATGAAGTATTACCAGTGGCATCAGCTTCTTAATTTCTGTCTTCTTTTCTGCATCCACTTTTTTATCTGCTAACATCTTTTCAAATGTGGCTATGAGAAAGATAAAATAAACAGAAAACAGATCATGAAACATATCCTTAATTCTTGATCAAATTCTGTATTTAGAGCAGCTTAATAGGGTTCATAGAGACTTGACCAACAGGGGGTTCATAGAGACTTTACTTAGTCGAGAGTTCATAGAGACTTGACTAAGTAGAGGTTTCACAGATACTTTACTGAGCAGATCATAAAGACTTGATCAAGTAGGGGGTTCATAGAGACTTCACTAAGTAAGAGGTTTGTAGAGACTTCACTTACCGTATATACTCGCCTATAAGTCGGTCCGCCTATAAGTCGGTTGTATTTTTTAGGTTATTTTGGAGGGATTTGCCATTGACCCGCTTATAAGTCGGTACAACTTTTTGCCAGAATCAGTTGACAATTTCAAATCAATGCTCTGATGTTTTACCATGATTTCGATTAATATTTTTGGAAATGACGCCGATATTTAATTTTAAATCATTAAGAAAAATACATAATTCACACTTAAGATAAAACTTAAGTTATTAAAATATGTAAATAATGGTACTTTATGCATAACCTTAGAATACATCAATGATATAATATATCCGGACTTTGTTCAACGATAATCATGGGAAATGTTTATAAAATATTACATTTCGTCATCCAGAAAAATACTAATCTTTTTTATGACTCGCCTATAAGTCGGACATAGAGTTTTGGACCAAAATTAAACTCCCAAAAAACCGACTTATAGGCGAGTATATACGGTAGTAGGGAGTTCATAGACACTTTACTTAGTAGAATGTACATTGAAGATCTGTGAATTAAAGCACTTCTTAATTATAATGCCTAATAATTTAAAGCTTTGCAACATATGTTTAACCTAAAAATATTTTCTAAAACTCAAAGAACAGCAGTAAAATTCAAAGACTATCTAAAACCTACATGACTGTATTTGAACTACATGTATATAGTACAGAACATGTATTTCTTAATGAAAAAGAAGAATCACATCCTAAATAAATACAGTTAAACTTTGACATCTGAAACTCTGTCCAACAGAAAAAAAATCACAACATCAGCAGTTGGAACTATGGGCTCCTGAGGCTTGTTCAATAGAGCGAATGTTTGCGAGTGCTTGAGAACAATTCTGTTGGAGGGATAAGGAATTTTGGTGAGCGCTCGAGAATGTTTGCTCTGTTGAGCAAGCCTCTGGTATTACACATATGGGCATTCAAGATAAGTAAGTTCAGCTGTACTTGAATAGCTAACTGCTGATTTCCTCGTTGCTCCTACCTTCAATCAGATGGTCTGCTCTGTAACAGTCTCCTGTCTTCAGATCTTTTACCATGGTGTCCTGGAACCTCTCTACGTGGCCGGAGGCTCTGTGAATAAAAAATGTGAAGTGTAATAAAAATAGGACTATAACTCGGTGAACAACGGACTCACAGCATATGACATAATTAGCATGATAAGAGTTGTATACTAGTATGTCTTTGCATGATCTCAGACATTTTTTGCTCACCTGAGCTGAAAGCTCAAGTGAGCTTTTCTGATCACCCGTTATCCATCTGTCTGTAAACTTTTCACATTTTCGACTTCTTCTCAGGAACCACTGGGCCAATTTTAACTTAACTTGGTACAAAGCATCCTTGGGTGAAGGGATGTTTAAACTGTTAAAATGAAGGGCCAAGACCCCTTCAAAGGGGAGTTAATCAAGAAAAGACAAAAAATGAGTGGGGTCATTAAAAAATCTTCTTCTCAAGAACCACTGGGCCAGAAAAGCTGAAACTTAAGTGGAAGCATCCTGGGGTAGTGTAGATTCTAAATTGTTCAAATCATGACCCCCGGGGGTAGGGTGGTGCCACAATAGGGAATCCAAGTTTTACACTGAAATATGCAGAAATTTTTTTTAAAAAATCTTCTTCTTAAGAACCACTGGACCAGAAAAGCTGAAACTTATGTGGAAGCATTCTGGAGTAGTTTTGATTCTAAACTGTTCAAATCATGACCCCTGGGGGTAGGGCCACAATAAGTACTACAGGGGGGGGGGGGGGGATCAGGTGAAAAACACCAAGGCCAAATTTACTCAGGTGAGCGTTGTGGCCCATGGGCCTCTTGTTTAATTATACCTATATGTGGTTAAAAGTTTTTTTTTGTAAACTTTTATAGAAAATTCACTGTTAAAAAGCAAATTTGACTAAGGAACATTAATAAAAGAAAATCAGTATGTACACAGGAAATTTCTCCATTGGTCAGAAACAACATCAAAAAATTTTTCTCCACAAAATGTTGTAAACTACTTCTAAAATTCTTTGTCTAAATTTATAAAATTAATGTTGTTAATCAATGAAGTTAATTAACAAGCCTGAGTTCCATCTGACTTACACTGAGACTGGCTCTAAGATGAGCATGAAGCATGACTAACATTAAGTCTAGCTCTAGGATCAGCATGGAGAACAACACTAAAACTGGTTCTGGGGTCAGCATGGAGCATACCTTACACTAAAACTGGCTCTGGGGTCAGCATGGAGCATGACTTACACTAAAACTGGCTCTGGGGTCCGCATGGAGCATGACTTACACTTAAACTGGATCTGAGGTAAGCATGGAGCATGACTGGGATCAGCATGGAGCATGACTTACATTAATGCTGGCTCAGGATCAGCATGGAGCATGACTTACACTTAGACTGATTCCAGGGTCAGCCTGGAGCATGACTCAAGCTAAGACTGGCTCCAAGTTCTGCATGGAGCTTGACTTACTCTAAGACTGGCTCTGAGATCAGCATGGAGCATGACCTACACTAAGACTAGTTCCAAGGTCAGCATGGAGCATGACTTACACTAAAACTGGCTCTATGGTCAGCATGGAGCATGACTTGCACTAAAACTGATTCCAGGGTCAGCATGAAGCATGACTTACACTAAGACTGGCTCTGGGATCAGCATGGAGCATGACCTACACTAAGACTGGCTCTGGGGTCAGCATAGAGCATGACTTACACTAAGACTGGCTCTGGGGTCAGCATGGAGCAGTCCACCTCCAGCATCTGTTCCTCCAAGATAAAGAAGTTCCTCCAAGCTTGGAGGAGGTTAGCTTTGACTGCACACCCCATGGGGCCAAAGTCATACAGGCCATTCACACCTACAAGGCAAAAGGAGATTCACAAGTCATAAGAAGAATTTTTTAAGGTAATTTAAAGTCATTTCTCCTGTGCACATGAAAAATGTCCATTGGCAAATGTAATAGAATATTAGAGAATACTATATATTTTTTGAAGGGTAAAAGGCATTTTTGGGAGAAAAGAAATATTCATTTTTTCTTCACTCATTTAACTTGAATTTATAAAGGACACATTTGAAATTTTGTTAACATGTTTGAATTTCTTGCCTCCATAAATTGAAAATGACTGATCAAAAAAGAATTTCTGCTTCAGTAAATCTTCCATTTTTCCTCGATCTATATTATCTTTGGCCCCAAGGTCAAGTTCCTGTAATGATTAAAAATAATTCAAGGCAATCATATACTGTCTAGTAAAAGACTATAAAAAAAGAAAAATTTCTTAAATTTTACATAATATTTGTACAGGAAAAATATTAAATATCATTTCTTCTAATTAAGGATGGATTCTTGTCAGCATTTAACGTCATCAATGGGTCTCCATAAATTATGCAAGTCGTAAAATGCAAATGCACAAGTATTAGTGTTTCATGATTTATAATTCAAGATACCAAAAACATACACTTGAAATAACATTTGAAATTTGAAATTAAAAAAGCCGAATGCCTTCATCCTAAGCTTTAAGCCTTCTGTATGTCTATGTCAGGACAGTGTCTACTTGTGCTATGATTTCTACCTGTCTTGTGCTATGATGTTTACCTGCCTATGCTTCTTTGATATATTAAAATGAATGTGTCTTCTAGTGCCTTCTGTAGGTCTATCAAAACAATGTCTACCTGTTTTGTGCTACGATATCTTCTTGTCTGTGCTGTGATATATTTACCTTGTCTTCTAGTGAGTTCTTCCTGTGCTTTAACTCAGCCTTCTGTATGTCTATGTCAGTACAGTGTCTACTTGTCTTGTGCTGTGATGTCTACTTGTCTTGTGCTGTGATGTCTCTGCTGTGACATACTTATCTTGTCCTCTAAGTGACTTCTTCCTGTGCTTTAACTCAGACACAGTCTTCTGTATGTCTATTTCAGAAAAGTGTCTTCTTTTCTTGTGCTATGATGTCTACCTGTCTTGTGCTATGATGTCTACCTGTCTTGTGCTGTCTTCTTGCCTGTGCTGTGACATATTTACCTTTTCTTCTAGTGTCTTCTTCCTGTGCTTTAACTCAGCCTTCTGTATGTTTATGTCAGTAAAGTGTCTACTTGTCTTGCTCTGTGATGTCTACTTGTCTTGTGCTGTGATGTCTGTGCTGTTACATATTTACCTTGTCTTCTAGTGTCTTCTTCCTGTGCTTTAACTCAGACACAGCCTTCTGTATGTCTGTGTCAGTATAGTGTCTACTTGTTTTCTGCTGTGATGTCTGTGCTGTGAGATAATTACCTTGTCTTCTAGTGTCTTCTTCCTGTGCTTTAACTCAGACACAGCCTTCTGTATGTCTGTGTCAGTACAGTGTCTACTTGTCTTGTGCCGTGATGTCTGTGCTGTTACATATTTACCTTGTCTTCTAGTGTCTTCTTCCTGTGCTTTAACTCAGCCTTCTGTATGTCTATGTCAGTACAGTGTCTTCTTGTCTTGTGCTGTGATGTCTGTGCTATTACATATTTACCTTGTCTTCTAGTGTCTTCTTCCTGTGCTTTAACTCAGACACAGCCTTCTGTATGTCTATGTCAGTACAGTGTCTACTTGTCTTGTGCTGTGATGTCTGTGCTATTACATATTTACCTTGTCTTCTAGTGTCTTCTTCCTGTGCTTTAACTCAGACACAGCCTTCTGTATATCTATGTCAGGAGCCTTTTCTTCTTTTAGCTTCTTCACTATATCTCCCTTATATTACACAAAATATTATAAAATATTCACAAATTCAGTAGAAAAACATCAAAGTTTTAATTATAATCTATGAACACTGTATTCAACATGAAAAATTGAGAGTGAAAAAACACACATAGGCTTTAGTCAATTATTTAGTTCTTTGACTACAAAGCACATCAATGAAGCATGAGATAATTATTTTTAACACTCCTCTAATAAAAAAATTCCCGGATTCTCATCCCCACCTAACCTGATTTTTTTTTTTACCCCGGCCTCAATTTTATAAAATTTCTTTTTTACATTTAAAATTTAACAGTTCGATCTTTGTCTCGATTCTGATCGAGATGGATATATTCAATTTAACGTTAAACTTCTGTTTTTGAAAAATCCTGCAAAAGTTGGCATGATTTTACAGCTGGCAAAATAGTGCTTGCTGCAATATGAATTGGTTTTGAAAGATTGGTGAGGATGTATAGCATGTATAGTAAAAGATATGTACATTTAAGTGGAACTCATGACTTTTATCCAGGCTATGTAATGAATAAAATCTGCACAAATTGATGTTGTCAACAAATTATCTATCCACTGACAGAAATAAAAATTGAAATCTGCCCTAAATTTGTCAATAAATTTGGAAGAGAATAGGAATTTTTTTTTTGTCATGGCTCAATGTACTGTGTCATAATTCACACGGTAAATGCACACCAATTATATTACGTTTTGCTTCATGAAATATATAAATCAATATAATTTAGGTACATGAGCATGATAAAGCATGAAATTAAAAGATAGGCCATAATGAAATTAGTGCTTGTTTGGAATTGCCTGCCACCTCACTGAAATAACCTCCTCCTGAAAAAACTTTATACACCGAAAATTAGATTTTTTTTTCATCTGATGAATTCTTGGTCTATTATCAAATGCACTGCCAAAACACTTATTAATTAGCATCCATTCAGATCTATGGAAAAAAAAAACCCAAAAAAAAACCAGGGTTCCTGGCTTGATGGGAGTTTTTTTTTTAACAAAAACTCAGAAAATAAAGTGTTCACTGTTTCTTGCAATTGTTATCATCAGTTTTTAATTAACTTCAATTTGGAAAAAATAATATTCCTCCCTCCCTCTTGGGTCTGAAATACCCCAGGCAGTAATTCAAACATTCTTTTTTTAGGTAAAAGCCTTGCATACTCGATCAATGTCATCATGTAAGACTTAGTGAAACATGACACTCTGCAATTCGTTGTTGAGATATAAAAATTAAAATTTAAGTATTTTATTATACAATATCAAATTAATAACTTTATTCCAAATTAATTTTGAAAGATATGGCTAGCCAATTTTGAATAAGAACTATTTTAATTGACAGATACTATCAATTGCAATTAAGAGGCAGATTCCTCTGTCCAGTTCCCAAAAGATATAGATAATACCTGCTTGTGTGATCAGAAATACTCTACCAGAAATCTTCTTACACTAAACTCATCAATTAATCTCTAATTCACAGGACAGATGCTTTTATCACTAGAAATATGTCCATAGGACATGAATGCCCCACAGAGGGTATATTAGTAATGCAACATGAAAATTTTCTACTAGTGTATGAAGTTTGATGAGAATATCTTGAATAGTTTCTTTAAAATTGAAATTGAAATCTAAAAAGTTGGATATCTATGATGAATTTTCACCAAATTATGTATAAGTGCATAAGCTTACATAAAAAATTGGATATAGATGATAAATTCTCACTGATATAGATGATAAATTCTCACCAAATTATGTTTTGCATAAGCTTACATAAAAATATCTTAAATGGTTTCTTTAAAACTAAGCAAAATGCAAATTCAAGAAAAGTGAGGTCAAGGTCACAGGAAAGTTCAAGGTCAAAAGTTTTTGATGCAGTTGAATAGCTCTCACTAATTTTAGTATTACCTGGGTAAGGCCATCTTTTACATGTTTTAGGACTGAAACGATTCACCGAAATATCGATATTGTTCAATATCACTGCTCAGTTCAATGTTCGATTCACTATCTCGATTTTTGGTTCAGTACGTTTTTTATAATCGGGTTTGGTTACTCCTTGAAATAGTTCGGGTTCGACCTCATTTTAATAGTTTGACACACACGAGGAAGAAAATTGTGATGGAGAAAGTTTCAGAGCAGGCTGCCACTGCTAGTATTGACACAAACAAAGTGCTCTTTTAATCTACAGAAGCACATTGAGTAAATTAATGCTCTTTATTGTATCACCACCCTTTACTTACCTTTTGAAATCTGAATATGTTTTCTTTACTCTTATGATTTGTTTCTTTTTAAAATGTATCGTATTGAAAAAATTGAATTGTGACACATTAGTATCGCAATACGTACCGTATCGTGGAGTGGGCGTATTGTTTCAGCCCTACCATCTTTATTAAAGATGGCCTTAGCAGGTATTAAATACTAATTTATTATTACAATCTTGGTTGGAACAGTTAATGCTTTTTTATAAATCACTCTGTGGTTTATAAAGCATGAACTTCCCAAATCCAGGTTATCACGGTTATATGTGTATAACTTGGTAACATTTTTACTTTATTTGAATTTTGTTTTATGATAGTAATCATGTTATTATAAACATGGATTATGAATTCTTGGGCCTCTCTCTTGAAAGCAAACATCACAAAATTCTGGGAGATAAATAAAGAAGGTGTGGAAAGCAGCACATCCAGGGATTTTCAGATTTTTTTTTTAAAGATTAACAAAGGTTAATAACTGAAAAGTTATTTTTTTAAAAATTGTAAAAAAAAAAAAAATTGTACATGCCCAACAACTTTTATCTTTAATTTATGTTTTGCTACATGTATGTAAGGTCAACTATGAAGCATTCAAGATTATGAACTTTGGAATATACATGTACCATTACTTAATTCAGCAACAGCTGTACAGTAGTAATTAGGCATGGGAAGATATCTACACATTCTCATGAAAGATTTAAATGGATTTGGTAAAATTAAGATAGGTCAACTCAAGAATTAAGAAAAAGAGGAAAAAAGATTATTTAAACGCGTGTATCGAGTAATGTATAATTCACAACATAAACAATTACATTCATAAACATATGGAACACGTGCATGTTGCATCATTCTTTTTAATTTACCTGTTCTTTTACAGCAACCCTCAGTGGTGCCAGCATTTCCTCTATCTCGTGGTCCATTGTTCCTGTCTGTTTCTCAAATTTTTGAGATATAGGTCTCCGATTTACAGATAGTAAGCTACAACAATGAATGGTCTGTTTTAGGTGAAGAATTAGTGGTCGTGGCCAAATCAACCTCAAGATATGTCTCATGAGATGTTATGGATGATTGACAGCCCGGTGCCACGCTTCCGTCAGTAAAAGTGAAACTGAATTTTAGATGTTCGAGCCCGATCTTTTACAATTTATCAATAAATGTATGTGATTATTTGAAGTCAGATTAATGAATTAATAAAGAAAAAAAGAAAAAACTAAACAAAATTATTTGAGTTGTACATATAATGTATGCATAGTTATGTAACAAATATTTTAAGAAGAAGTGCTTAAATTTTAAATCTCCTCGTTCGTTGTCCTATTATTTCCAAATCCAAGGTGGCTGCGCCCAAAAGAAATGTGATGAAACCTTCAGAAACATTATCATTACCTAGAGAATCAAATTAAGGTGAAATTGCCAAAATAATGGTTATTTTTAGGAAATTATCTTACTCGATAAATCGCACGCTGTTACAAAATGTGAGACGAGGGATAACTTCATCTTTTAGTCGGCCAAATCACCAATGGGTTAAACCGAAAGTAGTCCTTGGTATCGAAACAAGTTGTGATGACACAGGTGCAGCAGTTGTTGATACGGACGGTCAAATTCTTGGAGAGTCTTTATATTCTCAATCTAACATACACATAAAGTAAGCTGATTCGATTATACATTCTCTAAATTATTATGCATCCTTCTGTTTTATCCCAACGCCTTTAACATCTAAATAGACAAATCGTCAAATAAGCATAGGGTTGGATACCGTTAAGGATGAAACGGTACGATACCATACCGGTATTTTTGAAACGATACGGTATTTTTAATGATACGGTACTATGCAATGATGAATGAGAATGAGGGTTCATTTTATAACAAATGTGCCTTCACCATTCACTAACCTTTCAATGATATAAACTAAAATGAGCTTATAAACTTTGTTCTATGCTTTTAAGAGATAACAATAGATATTCCTAATATTCAAATTACAAACATTTCATTTCAACCTTTTAATAATGATCAACAAAACAAATCAACTGAATCCCAAACAAATTAATTTACACAAATTGGCTGACTGCTTCACCCGGTTGCCAGGACCCCTTTTGTTTGGTCGCACTAAATGACAAAACATTAGATAATGGATAGGTAACATTTTTGTGACATTTTGCATTTTTAATTTACATTTATTACATGTACCAGTGAATGTATTTTGATTTTTTTTTTTAAATATACGTATTGGTTTACCTCAAATATCGGCAGTCGAAAGTAAGTATCGTTCTAAGAATCCATTTCATTACATGTAATTAGCCTACCTTTTCAATGAGCGGAGAATTCGATTATCGTTTTTTTTTTTAAAATCAAATTGAATGTATTAAAATGTTTTAAAGATTAAGAAGTACCGTTATTAGTACCGGTATTAAATGAAACGGTATTTTACCGGTATTTTTGAAGTAACTTTTAGGTACGGTATTGGTACCGAGGACCGGTATCCAACCCTAAATAAGCATGATAAAACGAATGTCTTTTATCAGATTGGTTAATCCGTAGACCACCTTTTAAGAATATCTTGGGGTTTGAAAGCACATAAGAGGGATATGTGTATCACTAACAGGCAGATTTGTGCTGGACAGGCTTGATATTTGAAAAAGGGATGTGTAGAATTCTGGGTTCAGATGGCAGCGATGTACATAAAGGAATTTACCCTGGATTGTATTCCATACACCCTTTGGCCTCAGAATGTTTGAAATACAACTCTTTTGGATTTTGTCTCTGTTACAAAAAATAGAAATTTCTGTGAAATTTCTTTAAAATTCTACTCCTGCTACAGTTTTGGTACGATTTCAATATAATTTGGCACACTAGTAGACTACACTAAGATACATAGTTAAGTGCATAGGTTTTTGATTTGATGAACAGTGTTGCCATGTTAACTAAAATAATTTCTGTGAAATTCATTTAAAACACTCCTCCTCCTACATTTCTGCTTCAATTTAGATAAGATTTGGTACATATGTGTATTACATCAAGGTGAATAATTCTATGCATCGGTTTTTAATTTCGACAAAAGGTGTCATGGTTACTAAAAATAGAAATTTTTCAGAAATTCTTTCAAAACACTACTCCTCCCCAGTTTTCATTCAATTTCAATAAGATAAGTAGATAGACTACACCCAATTAGTTCTGACTTAGAATTATTGCTTGTGTCAAAGGTATCATTTTTGCATTTTTTGTGATGACACAGGGTAGATTCTCTATCATTAAAATTCAATGTTAAAACAATTAAACAGAGAAAGTCATTAGGCCTAAAAAAAATTATGTTTGTTTCCTGTAACCCGACCGACCCATTCAAATTACCCACGGGTGGATTTTTTTTTCTGCCAAATCTGCATTTGCTCTCTGGTTTGATCATTCAGCTGATTCCATTTATTCAAAAAAATTAATTGTATCTTTATTTGAGATATTAAATATGTCAACTTAGTCAACATTTACCTTAAATATAAAGAGTAATCATTATTGTAACAACAATTTCCCCCACAACTTTTTCAAGTTCGTTTTCTGCCGCTAGGCAGCCATGTTGGGTGTCCACTGTATATATAACACCTGGATAATTCAGTGTGGGGATGTTTAACTCCATTATTCATAAGCAAAAAAAAAAAAAAAAAAAAAAAAAAAAAAAAAAAAATCCCTACCTACTGACCCTTGATTTTTTGGGAATGTTACAGGAAACAGACATAATTTTTTTTTAGGCCTTAGTAATTATTATGCACTGCTATTACAGATCTGGGGGAATTAATCCCCGTACAGCCCAGTCCTTACATAGAGAGCAAATAGAAAATGTGGTGAATACAGCCTTAAAAAGATCAGGAAAATCATTGCAGGTTATTATTTTATTTTTATTTTACCAATGCAGTTTTATGCATTGTTTCATATCAGAGTTGAAAATTTTCATATGAGATAAAATTTTCCTATACAGTTAAACTTCAGTATCTCGAACATGGATATCTCAAATACCATGGATATGTCGAAGTGATATAGAAGTCCCAAGTACCTTTTTCTTTAAGTATTTTACCCTCAATATCTCAAACCCTCAGATATTTCGAAGTTTTTCTCGGTCCCATTGAGTTCCAAAATCATTTTGAATCTCATTCCAGAAATCATGCAAATGGAGATGTTTACTCTAGTAAACAGTTTATTTCATTTTGCATGTACATATTAAACATATACAATCAAATCTTGTTTTTCAAACTTGGGACCAGGAAAATACTTTAAGATAAAAAAGATTTTGAAATATTAAGGTCAAAAAATACATAAAGAAAAAAGTGGTTGGGAATCCATCTCACTTCAGTGCATGGTATTTAAGATATCCATATTTGTGTATTAATTAATAACATAAAGATCAACAATATGCCGTGAACTAGGTCCAAATGCCTCATTTCATTGTGATTTCTATTTTTCAGGAATTAGATGCGATAGCTGTCACTGTAGAACCAGGCTTGTCCATCTGTTTGGGGGTTGGAGTGGGTTATGCCAAGGAGCTGGTGGCACAGAGTGGGTAGGGTAGAAAATCAAATGAAAAACAAATCTAGGAAAACTTGCTTCCATTAGAGAAAATTGGCATCTTGTATGCTTTATTTTTTTTTAACCAAATGTGGTAAAGCGTGTATACTATTTGTGACTTAAATACACAGGTATCTCTGATTTTTTTTAGGAAACTTTCAAATGAAGATTGTAATTTTAAAAATTAGATAAGGAAGGAAAATTGATCAGATTTATTACAAGTGTTGTGTTCATGGTGTTTAGAAGAAATTGACATGGAGATTAATTCTCCGCATTCGCAATAAAAAAACATTATGAAGAACGAGACATTAAAATTTCATTTTATAGAAAGAACCAATATACTGGTAATGATATTTCTTTTGATTTGATTGCATTAGATGCATTGAAATTTTCTTTGTTTGTTTCACATTCCATTTACAGAGTTTCATGCTGTATTATTACCATGTATGATTATTTCTTGTCCTTTTCTTCTGAAAGGTTACCCATGATCCCCATACACCATATGCAGGCTCACGCTTTGACTGCTAGAATGTTGGAAAAGTAAGTCTGATGATTGCACAAGGACTTCAGAAGAACATTTTATTCTTAAATGAGAATAGAACTTCAATGCTTCTTAAAATGCATTCATAAGTTGTTGTTCACATTGTAAAATGTTTAATTTTTAGCTCTACTGGTCAGAGACCAGAAGAGCTTATGCGATAGTAAGGTGTGCGTCCTATGTCTATCTGTCTGTAAGTGTAAACAATTTTTCAAAATGCTACAGTTTTGGTCCAATTTCATTATTACTTGGTACACAAGTGGAAAGTAGACTGCTCTAAGGTACATAATTCTATATATCAGTTTTGATTTGGATGAACAGATTTCTGTGAAATTCTTTTAAAATGCTACTCCTCCTACAGTTTTAGTCCAATTTTAATATAACTTGGTACACACATAGACTACACTAAGATGCATAGTTCTTTTTATCAGTTTTTCATTTTGATGAAATAGTATTACCATGGTTACTAAAAATAGAAATTTCTGTGAAATTCTTTCAAATCCCTACTTCTCCTACAGTTTCAGTCCAATTTCAATATAACTTACTACACAAGTAGACTACATTAAGATACATAATTCTTTTTATCGGTTTTTGATTTTGTTGAAGTGTTGCAGTGGTTACTAAAGATAGAAATCTCTGTGAAATTCTTTCAAATGTTACTTGTCCAATTGCACTTGATCAGAAAGAGACTTTACGAAAGATCATTATTTTATTTATTGCTGTTGCCTTAGTTTCTAGTCCAAGTGATACCTTTCTCTACTTTTGTTAAGTGAAACACCAGTAGAGCTACAGTCTCGTCAGAGACTTCTGGTTAAAGGTGTGCGACTGTAGACTTTTTGTTTGAATGTAAAAAGGATAAATGAAAGTACATGAAGAAATACTGACTGACATTTAAAAGGCATAACATTTGCACTTATAACAAAGTATACTGATGGAAATTATTTGATTAAAGTAATAAAGCTTTGATATCAAAAACTTTGCAGCTGGGATCAAACACCTGATTTGTAGCTTACCAAGTGAACACTTTAATCTTCGTATTTGTAGCTACTCAAGCAGTTTCCTTGAACAGAATAACTTTTACAAAATCGACTATAAATTCTGCGTTTGTGACACATATCCCAACTGAAAAAAAATGACAATGTGCTACTGTAAATGTATTATATTTAGCGTGCACAATATTTGGCGGAAATTGATTTTTGAACAAGTTAGCATAGATTTGATTTAGGGCATTTCTCTTTATGTGTATATGTGCAAGACATTTGGCGTTGTAATTGAATTAGTGGAAGTTGCTTTCCGCCAAAGCTCAAGGCGATAAAAAGAATACACAGCCAAATGTAATACATCTACAGTATTCCTCCTAAAAGGAAAACTTATTATACCCCACACAAGGAGTTGTGGAGTGTGTAATGTTTTTGACTTGTCAATCAGTCCTGTTTTTGTTATCAAAACTCCTCTGAAACCGCTCAACAGAATTTCTTGAAACTATGTAGTTAATTAATAAGGACATAATATGTATATGTGCATATTTGCAGAAAATTTTGGTTCAATTTCTTTTCTGGATGTTGTGCCCTTTTTAAACTTAGAAGTTTGTCTTCCTTCAGCCCTGTTCTTGTCATCACAACTCTTCTGAAACTGCTCCACAGAGTATCAGGAAATGCTTAAGTTAATAAGAACATACCGACTAGTGTGTAGAGGTGCATATTTACGGGAAATTCTGATCCAATTTTTTCTGCTTGTTATTCCCCTAATAAACTAAGAAGTTTGGCCAAAATTATTAAACTAATGCAACAGTTTTTCAGCGCAACTCCTCTTTAACCCCTATATTAAACTTCATAAAACTATTTAGTTGATAAAGGCATACTGTGTAGATGTGCTTTTTATGCCCCCGGATCGAAAGATCCCGGGGGTATATTGTTTTTGTCCTGTCTGTCTGTTTGTCTGTTTGTCTGTTTGTTTGTCTGTTTGTCTGTCTGTCTGTTGTCAACTTTAACCTTGCCCATAACTTTTGATTGGTTGGAGCTATGACTTTCATATTTCACATGTGTATTCCTTGTGACAAGACCTTTCTTTGGGTACCATCATATTTGACCTTTTGACCTTGACCTTGGAGTTTGACCCACTTTTGCAAAATTTCATGAGACTTTAACCTTGGCCATAACTTCTGAACAGTTGGAGCTTGGGGTTTCAAACTACACATGTGTATTCTTTGTGACAAGGCCTTCTTTTGGATACCAACCACTTTGACCTTTTGACCTTGACCTTGGACTTTGACCTACTTTTGAAAAACTTTAACCTTGGCCATAACTTTTGAACAGTTGGTGCTTAGGGTTTCATACTTCACATGTGTATTCCTTGTGACAAGACCTTCCTCTGGATTTCAACCACTTTGACCTTGACCTAGGAGTTTGACCTACTTTTGAAAAACTTTAACCTTGGCCATAACTTTTGAATGGTTGATGCTAGGGCTTTCATACTTCACATATGTAATCCTTGTGACAAGACCTTCTTTTGGATACCAACCACTTTGACCCTTTGACCTTGACCTAGGTGTTTGACCTACTTTTGAAAAACATTAACCTTGGCCATAACTTTTGAATGGTTGGTGCTAGGGCTTTCATACTTCACATATGTAATCCTTGTGACGAGATCTTCCTTTGGATACCAACCACTTTGACCTTGACCTTGACGTTTGACTTTTATTTAAAAAACTTTAACCTTCACCATAACTTTTGAACAGTTGTATCTAGGTCTTTCAAATTCCACAGGTGTTTTCCTCGAGACAAAATCTTTCTTTGGGTATCAACATTTTTTATCTTTTGGCCTGGATTTTGACTTGCATTTGAGAAACTTTAACCTTCGACATAAGCTGCCATACGGGGGCATAGTGTTTCACAAACACATCTTGTTTTTCTGGGAATTATGTCCCTTTGAATTTAGAAGATTGGGTCAAAATACCATTTTGTGTAATTTGTGTGAAACGTATTTATTTAGCACATGCTTCATGATTTTAAATGATGAAAGAGGATGTATTCCCAATTGGAATTCCGAAATACTTTAATATTCAGTATACCTTGAGTTATTACACACAGATCTGATTCTAATGTGACAAATATCTGTAAAAAGGAGGGGGGGGGTCATTTGTTGTATATAATGCTTATAGCATTTCCATTCATTATGTGTAGCATATGTCAAGCAATATGGAAGTGTGGGGTATATGTGAGCTTGCTTACTTTTGTTTCTTTAATTGTAATAAAGTTTTGACATTGACATTACAGTATCGAGTTTCCTTTCCTTGTATTGTTGATAAGTGGCGGACATTGCATCCTTACTGTGGCACAAGATGTCAATCGCTTCCTGATGATTGGGAATGGCCTTGACACCTCACCTGGCGACTGTCTAGAAAAGGTACTAGTATGGAGAAGATGAATCAAATATTCATCTGTGTAACTGGTTAGACTAACTTGATCTACATGTACAGTTGAACTTTGGTATCTCGAACACGGATATCTCGAATACCATGGATATGTCGAAGTGATTGAGAAGTCCTTACCATGTATTTCTTAAGTATTTAACCCTCGATAACTTGAACCCTCAGATATCTCGAAGTTTTATCTCGGTCATATTGAGTTCGAGATAATGAGGTTTGACTGTATTTCTTTTTTGACTTGTCATTTTTTTATTCGAATTAGGTAAGTATCGGACTTTTTTCCTGTCAAAGAGAGCATTTTTTACTTGTTTTGAGATGTCACAAGCTGGAAGTGAAGGAATATAAATTTAGACCTGTGCTGTTACATGTAACCCTTAACAATGAAGTGAACATTATCATACCAGGGGTCATCAAGACAATTTTGATGAAAAATTTGCAAGTCATGTATCATATTGATTACCGGTACTTTGTTTTTACAGAGGGGAAAAAAACATGCAGGGACAAAATTCATAGATTTGGAGCACAATGTTTTAATAACAAACAAAAATTCAATTTAGACCTTGTCTAAATTAATTTCTATATTAAAGTTTTAAATTCCAAGAACAGTATGTACATGTACCTCTTGTTAAATTTGTATAATTATGATTGTATTAATAAAAGACAGATATCTGAGTTGGGAGAATTTTTTGTTTCTCCCATTATAAGATGTGTAACTCAAACCATTCTTGTTTACAATGTCCTTCAGGTTGCTAGGAAACTGAATTTAAAGTCCCTGCCTCAGTGTGAGAACCTGAATGGGGGTGCTGCAATAGAACTCTTGACAAAGGGAGGTGACCCCCATAAGATTCCCTTTTCTGTTGCCGTACTTAAGCAGCCAAGCTGTAATTTCTCCTTTTCTGGGCTACGCAGTCAAGGAGAGCATGTGATTGAATTGCAACGAAAAGAGGAAGGTTTGTACCACAAATCCAGTCGTCAAGTGTCAGTCCTTTTTGATTAAAGACTTAATGTGTACATTAATTGTGATCATGGAAATTTATGTATTAAAAAATTATAACTTGCATAAAATCCATATTTAAATTATCATTTACAAGTATATTTCTTGTCACTTATTTTAAAGAGACAGTAGCATTTCTCTTACTTTCAAGTTATTATGCCATCTACAATAATCAGAGGTTCGAGGGCATATAGTTTTTGGTCTGTCCGTCTGTTTGTCAGCAAAAACTTTTATCTGCCCATGACTTCTGACCGTTTGGTGATAGGACTTTCATATTTCATAGATGTATTCCTTGTGACAAGACCTTTCTTTGGATACGAACATTTCTGACCTGCTGACTTTGACCTTGGAGTTTGATTTATTTTCTAAAAGCTTTAACTTTGGCCATGAGCTGCCTTTTTGGGCATCAGTGATTCACATACACATCTTGTAATTTTTACATGTTGTCTGTGATTAGTAATAATTAATAGTTACTTCTTGGTAATTTACTCTCCCATAGAATCAGTCCCACAAAAAAAAATGTGAAAATAAACATGATTTACAATGTCAGTGTGTTAAAAACAAATGAACGAATTAAGCAACATCAAGAATATTAGAATAGGAAAGTTGAGATGCTGGTATATAATCTTCAGTTGTATTTATAGTTACCTAGTGATTGCATTTATTTTACAGGAATCTCTGAAGATGAAGTGATCAGTGATGTGACAGATTTTTGTGCCTCCTTGCAGTACTGTATTGCCTTTCAGATCTGTCGCAGACTTCAAAGAGCTTTCATCTATTGCCAAATGAAAGATTTATTGCCAAGTAATCCCACACTTGTAAGATTCATTTTGACTACACAGCTCTGAAAATTTTAATATGTTTTTATTATTTTTAAGGAAGATTGACTGATAAATGTAACAGGAAGAAAGAAAATGTCATGGTTCAGAACCCAGGCCCTCTGAATCATTTGTTAGGTGCCCTGCTAATTGAGCTACTGTATAGATCGAGGGTTATTTTTGCCCCGTGTTATTTCTGCCCTTTCACACTTGCAAACAATTTTGCCCTGTTTTAAATTCGCCCAGTCACAGTTCTGTGTAAGAAATTATACCTTGTTTTTTGAATTTGTCCAGTTTTAATTTCACCCACCTGTGAGTAGGGCAAAAGGGGCAAAAATAAAATGGAAGCAAAAATTTCCCTGTATACAGTATCTGGCAACTGCCAATCTTTCCTCCTTAAAGGTCTCTGCCCCCAAAGACACCAACTCAGACTTTCCCTGGCAGGTCATTCAACTGTCACTTCTAGGGATGTTCATGGCATGGTACTGAATATATCAGGAAGGGAGAAAATATGTGACAGACCAGCCCCCCCCCCCCCCTTGAACTCTGAACTCTAAATATGTTCTACCAACTTAGCATACTTGATTGTGATAGAATTCGTCCGAGCTGAACCAAGCAGGGTAAACCCCGGTACTCTCTTAGAATCAAGCGAACAGGCTCATGTAAAGTAATAGAAATATTTGTATTTCTATCGTAAAACATTATCTAGCATAGGAAAGGACTACACTTTTTGCAAATATGTTCATTTCACAAGCGTACCTCGGTCAAAAGCTTCATGTCTTAAAACAAACAACTTTCAACACTACTATCCCCAAGGACGCCATGTTGAAGCCGTTCGAGCCTATCAAATTTTTACGGCTCAATCGGCTCACCCGGCTTGATGCATGCGCAATACCGGCTCAGAATCAAGTATGTCACCGGTCATCGCCGGTTTACCCGGGCGCGCCGGATGGTCAGAATCAAGTATGCTAACTGAGTTACAGTTTTAGAAAACACTACTCTTCAAATCTTATTCTCCAATAATTTAACTTCAATTTTAGAATTATTTTAATGTGAAAATCTTATTCTCCAATAATTTAACTTCAATTTTAGAATTATTTTAATGTGAAAATAGTATTTAAAAAACTAGATACAAAATTAATGAAATGTAATAGTACTGTAAATAACTTTTTATTCACGCTAACTTTATTTTCGTGTAATTATGCGTTTTCACAACTGTCTGCTCGCAAAAATTTCATTCTCGCATATATTTTTGTTAGTTAAGGTTATACAGAATTTGTGAAAATTTTGTCTCGCTTATTAATATCAATTACATATCTCGGTAAAATAAGGTGTCACAAAAATCTAGTGATTTACAGTAATATTTTCTTTGTGCTCAGGTTGTATCAGGGGGTGTGGCTAGCAACCAGTACATAAGAAAATGTCTACAGCAGGTGTGTGGTGAAAATTCTGCCAGACTAATCTGTCCCCCTCCAAAGCTTTGTACAGACAATGGCATCATGATTGCATGGTGAGTCGGTGTGAATAACTATTTTCTTGTACGTATATGTAAATGAAATTCAATGTATAAAGTATTTTCTTTAAAAAAAATAAATAACAAGGTTAAAATATTCACAGGGAAATGAACCTTTTTGATCACATGATCAAATCCTGTGAAGATTAGTAGATTTGATCATGTACCAACCAAGTCCATCCATGCTGTTATTGTTTTTTTTTTTTACTTTTTTAGAACTAAAAAAAAAAAAAATGAGAAATACACTCTACTCCATGAAAATTTATGGATAAGTAAAGCTAAAATGGAGAGGAAGTTCAAATTCAAAATTATGACTGAAAAATGGATTACGTACGATAAATCATTGTGGTAATGTTGGGATTTTAAGTTAAATCAAAACTTTTTACAATAGATAAATTTCTGAATTCAGAGAAAGGAGTGGCTTCTATGATAAAAATAGGCAGCATGGATTCTAAATGTATGTCTGTGTACCTATTATACCCCTGCTCTGAAGGAGAGGGGACGATACTGTTTTCCTTGTGTGTGTGCCTGTTGTCTGTCTGTACCACATTTCCGTCAGTTCTCTCAGCAACTAATCATTGCAGATGCTTGAAATTTTAGCACACTCTTTGTTTAGGTATGCCATATGGTGGGATTCATTTCATTACGAATTCAATGTCAACTTCTGTTTACCCATGCATCTGTCCGTACCAAATTTCCGTTGCAACTGAAAACTTGTGTATATTCACATGAGAGTGGGGTATTACTAGTGAGCATTGGATTACAGACTTCTGTTTTTATTTTTTATTTATTTATGTATAATTTCATTATAACAGCTTTAATGGTAATGACCCCCCCCCCCTTCTCCCAAATCTAATTTATGTTCAATGCACACAATTTTAGTAAACCTTGTGAAGCAAAATTTGAGGAAAATTGTCTTTGAATTTGACATTTGTGTAAAGGAATGATAGCCATTTATCCCAGTTAAGAGTTATCTCTCTTATCAGAGAGACATTGAACCTTAAATTATATTACCAGTAATTGCAATCAAGAATAAGAGCTGTTGATGTTTGTATTAAAGAATTATGCAGAAGTTTAGTTTTTGGAAATGTTCTTGAATTTGCTCACATTAGACTGTCTATATTGCACAAAAATCATGAATTCTTCTAAAATAAGTGCACAATTATACAATATCTAATGTTTGATTATATGGTTAAACTGTTTTGAACTCTGGTTTTTCTTCAGGAATGGGGTTGAGAAACTCAAAGTTGGACAAGGGATTTCAAAAGATCCACAGTCAGAGTCATACAGAGCTAGGTAAAGTTAATAGATGATTCTTGAACTTTACATATATACAGTAAAACTCGTTTAGTACGAACGTGGATAATGCGAATTCACAAATATAGCGAAGTTTTCTTGGTTCCACAGCTATATAAATTTTATAAATTCCTTATACAGATATACATGTAACGAATTACGGATATAGTAAAGTAATTTCATTGGTCCCAGTGACTTGGCTATAACCGAGCTTTACTGTATTTAAGTGATAAGAGTATATAAAGCAATGAAAAACTGCTGTGTGAGGTTGGATTCAATCTAATTAAAATTCAGTTTAATATTGATTCTCCTTATAAATAAGCATACAAAAATACCAGCTAGAGTAATAAACCAAAATTATGATTCCACAGAATTATGACCCTAAAGAAAAAAAAGTATGTTTACAATATAGTGTTTATTATGTTTACAATATAGTGTGTATTATGTTCACAATATAGTGTGTATTATGTTTACAATATAGTGTGTATTATGTTTACAATATCATGTTTGTTATGTTTACAATATCGTGTTTGTTATGTTTACAATATCATGTTTATTATGTTTACAATATAGTGTTCATTATGTTTACAATATCATGTTTATTATGTTTACAATATAGTGTGTATTAGGTTTACAATATAGTGTGTATTATGTTTACAATATAGTGTGTATTATGTTTACAATATAGTGTGTATTATGTTTACAATATCGTGTTTATTATGTTTACAATATCGTGTTTGTTATGTTAACAATATCATGTTTATTATGTTTACAATATAGTGTGTATTATGTTTACAATATAGTGTGTATTATGTTTACAATATAGTGTTTGTTATGTTTACAATATAGTGTTTGTTATGTTTACAATATAGTGTTTGTTCTCTGTTGCAGGAGTCTAATAGGAGAAGACATAACAGAAAATGTGACAAGACTTGGACTGAAAATCCCTCCCCTCAAACTAAAGATTCAGCCATGACTTTTTGTTTTCATGTTTGCAGAGGTTTTGAGAAAAAAGTGTAAGGCACGGCCAGTGGAATTTTCTTTCCAAAGTGAAGATTCAAGGATGAAGGACTGACTAAAACTTGTACATTAAATTTATATTATGATATATGTCAGCAAGGATTTCAGAATTAAAATTATTTGTTCACTTCTTACAAAAAACTCCAGTTTTTTTTTCCTTCAGGGTGCATTTCATTACTGCAACACATTCAAAATAGTCATTATTGTGACATAATTACATGTACTCATTACAGCAACAAAATAGTATACATTACTGCAACATTTATATGCATATTTTAGTCTTTAAAATCCAGCACTATTTATATACCCGGTATACATGTTTATAAGACACAGTTTTTCCATAAACTGATAGTGATTTGAAGGCCATTGATTTTACTGAAGTCTAGTAAGCTCATCATTTTCTTTTTTTTAGTTCTTTTACTTTTCGGTCTTGTATTAGCATTTTTCCTTTTATTCCAAAGGAATTGTATTCTTGGCAGCACTCCCTTTTTTTGAAATAACAATTTTTATGGGAAATTAATTTTAAAAAAAAAGATAGCATTAAAAATATCAGTATTTTATTGCTGCCTTGTGTAAATTCAAGGAAACTATAATTAATCTAATAGGTATGGTAATAATAGCCTCATTCTATTATTGCTGAAAATGTTCTTATTGTAAATTAGAATTAAAGGTTCAATTGTAAACTTAAAATTAAAGGATGAGACAGCAGTACAATTAATCTTCTGGGATTAATTATCTTGCCTGCTTCAGAAAATGCAGTACCTTATCTTTATCTGTCACATTAAGACTAATTAACAAGTCTGTTTGCAAGTGATATGAGGTTTTTTCTCCCTTATATAAATTTAAGGATACTACTGTATAAGTAGAATTTTTAGCAAGGATTCAATTTTGGCATTATTAGCGAGGGTTTTGAGATTGCTAAAATTGAATATCGCTAACAATTTAGCCTGTAACAGTTGTAACAGATACATGTATCTTTCTTGACATTATAAAATCGCTAAAATTACTTCTCGTTAAAACTTGTACCTATTTTTTGGGATAAATCGCTAAATTTGTGTCTTGCTAAAAATTCCACATATGCGGTATAAATTTCTAATAAGTAGTTTGGTATGTCCAAATTTTATAAATACAGTTGCTGTTTTATATTCATATCTTATTAAATTTTGACCTTTCATGTATTTTTTAGTTTCGGCCTTCTAATTTTTTTCTTAAGTCAAGTTCTCATCTTTTAGCTGCACCCTTGGATTTCTATCCTTCTGCGGGGCTCTTGCCGACTATTCAGTTTTCTTGTTTACACTGAATACACAATGTTATGTTTTTGAACAATATCTGATAAGTTGGAAGAAGGCTAGAATATTGCAGTCACAGGAGATATGCCCATTTTGTCCCAAAATTTTCGTGCCCATAATTTTTTTGTACAGAGTCAGTTTTTTGCTTGATCTATTGTGATGTATCACTACTAAATATATCTGCAGTTTTAAAATGTGGGTACAAAGGGTTGGAGGTCCAAATGGGCTTAGCCCCCCTGCGTGTACCTAGCTCCTATAATTCCTAGCAGTGTTACAGAGTCTGCACACTTCAGACAAGAATTAGATGCCGTTGTCCTAGGCATTTGCAATAAACTTGAATTTTGTTATATGTCATAAGGCCTTTATGCTAAAGAAATTGACCTCAAACAATAGGAGTGTTAAACAAGTGTACGATTTTGTTGTAGTACCATCGTCTTAAGCCACAGTGCAGAGTCCATATACATGTACATATACACATATTTAGCTCTCCTACAGGACTGTACATTTTATCTGTGGTTTGTGACAATGTTGTAATACAGGTATTATCTACACAATTTAACATAGAAAGTTATAATGCTGTACATGTACTTTTACCACTGCAGTGAAACTTTTTCTCTTGGTACATGTTATCCTCTAATAGAAGTAAAACACACAACACTGTAAAATCAATTAAAATTACAAAAGATAACATTTTTATTTCTTCTCTTTTTTTTTTTAAAACAATTTTCACAATTTGAAAACTTCTCATTTCTAACAAGCAAAATATAAAGAAAAAAAAACATCTTTCAAGACGATGAATTTAAAGCTTGCAATTGCTTCATATGATTTGTCTTTTTTTTTTTTAACAATACAAGTTTATACTTTTCATTCATAACATTAAAAATAACGAAACATCGTAAAATGTGAAGATACTTGACTTGCCAATTTAATTCGTTTTTTTTTTCTCATTCATTACAGTGTATGTCAAAGCTCTATTTAGCTGTTCAGTTGGATTCGATCAAGTCAAACAATGCAGAGAGTACATGTATATGCATACATTAAATTTTGTACAGAATCGGCAAGTTTTTCAATATATCTTCATTTTTCCTCTATATTTGTAGAAAGGTTGAAAAATTCCCCCTTGACCTTTCAAAAAATCACACAAAATTTATTATATACATGTAATGCAAAATTTTTATACATTGTTTGGCATGTCAGAAAATTGCCGTACACAAACGTACATGTACACATGACTTGTAACATTCCAAGTACATTGGCATGCCCTTTCTAAAGTTTCCAAAACTACCCTTGTAAATTAATCTAGAGCTGTAATTAAAATATTAAAACTGGACTTATTTTACAACATTGTCATTTACAACATTGTCATTTAATACAATCACGTGCTATTAATATGATTAAATAGTTCACTGCAAATTCTGGACATTTTACAAGTTTTTGTCAATCAATGATATCTCTGCATAATGAAAGTCTATTTTATACTTACTTTAATCTCAGTCTTTTAATCAAAGAACAAATACATAAATTAAATAAATTAACTTTTATAAATAAGTATAAATATTTTTTTTTAATTGAAACCACCTACACCCCCCCCCCCCCCTCCAACAAAGAGTTTTCACTTTATATTGTTCAACGGGTTGACATGATATTCAGGTTGTTATTAAGTTCTACAGATACTTTATTTCACAAAGAAAAAAGATGAATAGAAAACTATTTGTACACATTTTAATGTATTGCAAAAAAATTTATTAATTTTAATATGGATGTAAATTCTATTGCAAGAATAGATTACTTCCCCTTTTATTTGCAATTCTCTAAAAAAAAAAATAGCTACCATGAGTCAGCATCAAGTTAAAAACTCATGTCTTGTGTGTCAAAGCCTGCAACTATATATTTACAACATGCTATAGAAAAAAAAAATACAAGAAATCTATCAACATTGCAAAATTTCGCACAGTCTTTGCTTTTATAATTATGGAATATCATTAGAAAGAACAAAAATTCTGACTTCCATCATATAATCATCATATGATAGCCTTTAAATTTAATAATATACATCTTCATCGCTTTTACAGTGAATCCCCCTTCCTTCAATACAACACATAGGCATACAAAAGCCATTTCAGACACCTTTCAACTGCTTTAAGACTTGTTGAAATAAAAAAGTTTTCTTTATACAAATATAACATTTTGCAGATCTTAATTGTTCCATAACCCAAGCAGAGGAAAATAAAGAATACTGAAACATTATGACCAGTAAAACACACCTTCTGGGACAAAGTGTAAAAAAAAAAAACTGTCTGGACGGATCATTCAAAGTTGGGATGAAGTGGTATAGAAGTGAAACATGATCATGAAACTTGAGTGGAGGATCTAAATGGACGGAGATATGTGAAAATACCTGATGCAAGGCTTATCTGCCCATGTTGTCAGTTTTCGTTTCCCACAGTAAGGAATGTGAGATTCATTTAATATCAGACATATTAGCACAAATTTTGTCAAAATTTTAAAGCAGCCCAAATGAGCACTTCGGTACAAATTGTCTTTATGAATCTGTTTGTGAATTCTGGAAACCACATCAGAATAAAGAAAATTTGAAAATTACAAACTACGAACAGAGAACATGTCTGAATTTAAAAAAAAAAATCTTGCTTCATTTTTACCAAATGTATGATAATCAAGTTATATGTATTAAACCTGAAAAATAATTACAACTAAACCAGAATCGGTTTAACAGGATAAAATCACTAGTGTCATCTGGTCTACATTAGTTAAGTACACTAAGGGCTTGACATTGAAAAGAAACGATTTGGCGGCATGTACATATTAGGAAGAGACATGAAAGTCAAATGCCTAAAAACATGCTTTAATTTGAAATAAGATTTAAATACATGTACTTACTCTCAAACTTGGCAGATGTTAAGATACTACAATTAATGTATACTTAAAGTGAACTGAAGTTTCATATCTATGTCATACTATAAAATCACATATTTCTGATGTGTCAGATTTTTGAGGTTTGAGGAAAAAAATATTGCTTCAAGAGGATTTGATTTCATGGTTGAAGAGATGTGGCATTGCTACACATTTAAAATTTTACAGTTTGCAGAGAACATGAATTCTTGGGTCTCTTCATATCATGAAAACAACAATTAAACTCTCATAAAAATTAGTAATTTTACAGTACCTTACAAGAGAACACATTGAGCATAGCAATTAGCAATTACTTAACGAGTGGCCCTAGCTCACAATATCCTGTGTCTAAACAACCTCAAATAGATTTTAAGTATACAGGATAATAACATGTATATAGGAAGGAAAAAAACCCCACTGAACAAGTAGCCTCAAGATCTGCTTTACAGTGGTGACCTACCATTTCAAAATCATAAAAGCATAAACAGCAGTCAAAAAAGCACAGTCATTGTGGTCGTACTAAAATGCTTATCATTCATAAAATATCTGATTTTTTGGCAAAATGACAAAAAATATTTGTGCAAAGACTAGTTTCAGGTACAAGGACTTTCCCAAGAAAATATCTACTGCTGAACATTTCTTTATAGAGATCACTCAAAGTCCATCCACACTGCCATTTGAGAGAAGAAGAAAAAAAAAATCTTAAGCAATTAGTCTACTATACATTTAAGCCCAAATGTCTGTAGCTCAAAGGAAGAGGTTAAATGTGAAAAGTTTGGTATGATGTAGAATTGTGAGAAAACAGATGAATTTTTATCAGAATGATTTACTTACGCCTTGGATTAAAGTAATCTTGTACAGAACTGTTGATAAATATAGAGAGATTCTGATAAAGTGAGCTTTTACAGAACTGTCAATAAAGATAGACAGGTTCTGATAAAAAGTGAGCTTGTACAGAACTGTCAATACAGAGGGGATCTGTTTGTAGTTATTTTCTACTAATTGATGTACAGCTTTTCAAGTTAACAAGAAATTTTATGCATGAGAAAATTGGTCAACCATCATCATTCATATATATTCAATCAAATCTACTGCTGTGAAATTAATTCTGTAAAATATCATAACTTATAGTGAATGAAACATTAAAAGTTAACTAAAAAAAAAGACAAGAACAAGTACATTTCATCTGCAGTATGAAAACTAACCATCCCTTGAGGTTACGCAGCACAACATTGAAACATGAATATAAAAATACTTATTTATGAAATATCATGAGGAAATATTTCGTTAGATTAGTGATACATGTATATGTAAATGAGGTATTTTTTTTTACTAAGTAAATATTTCTCCTTAGACTTAATGCCATTTAAATGGAGATGCCACATTATTTCACATTCCACCAAAAAATTCACACATGCCTGAAAAAATCTATATGATCTCAAAATTACATTTCATTTGGTTAAATACCAAAACATACGGAATGTTTTTACATCATTGTGTAGTTTCAAATAAAATTTTAAAAGAGATTCCCAAGGTAGGAAAAATCTTGCAATAATAGTCTTTTCTGAAAATTTCCTTGTCTTCAAATTAATAAATTAAGCAAAAAATATGTAAAACCTAAACTTTAACATAAGTACAAAAGATAGATTCTGACTTTTCTACCTTCACCCTAAATATTTAGTATACTAAGTTATGTATTTGGTAAAGATAAAGCCAAAGATAGTATTTCAGCATTTACCTTAAACACATTTACATGTAACTGCATGCAATTAAGAGCCCAATAACAGAGCAAAATGTCAACCTAACAATAGAATTGCAACTACACATAACTAAGAAATTAGCTCAACTGATCAAAATCCTCAGTTTAGAGATTCTAGTAATAAAAAAAATTAATACAACCTCTTAACAAATTACTAAATAAATACTATTCTATTGAGTTAATCAAAATGAATGGGAAAAAAACCAATAATATTCACAAGCAGAAATACACAGAGAGAAAAAAAATTAACAACAGATTGGTCACCCATGGGGAGAATACTCTAATTAGTAATTGGTGCAGGGGTGGGTTGTGTCCCTTGATTTGTGTACATGTTTCTCAGGGGACAAAAAGCAGAATCGATGCTGGGTTTGAAGACATATTGGGTTGTCTTGATTGGACACAGTAGAGGTACTTTAATGGACGGCTGACTTGGTTTCCTGAAAAAAAAAAAAGTGACAAACATTAGAAGGCTTGCTTTTAAGGTACACTGGCCCTCTGCTTAAAGAGATAACTCTATACAATTAAAGGAATATATATATATGACAATTATTCTTTCATAAAATTGTCAAGTTAAAAGGCCATTTCTGTCAAATTTTGTCCCCTAATGTATGTTGAAATTGCATGCATTTTCATTACACTAGTACATGTATTACATTTCTTCTGGAAAATCATTAGTGTTAGAGCAAATTTTTTTCAAGCTTGAACAGAAGAATGATGAATCTTAATTAAAGGGTTTTTGCAGATTTTGGAGCCCTCCAGCTGTCTTGGGCTTACTCATCTTCTTCAGTGATGACTTTAATCCCCACCCTCTCCCCCGGTTGTCTTGTGCTTACTTGTCTTCTTCGGTGATGACTTAACCCCCCCCCCCCCTCTGTCTTGGACTTATTTGTCTTCTTCATGGATGACTTTAATCTCCCCCCTCTCCCAGGCTGTCTATGACTTACTCGTCTTCTTCAGTGATGACTTTAATCTCCCCCCTCCCCCAGGCTGTCTATGACTAAACCCCCCCCCCCTCCCCCACTCCTGGCTGTCTATGACTTACTTGTCTTCTTCAGTGATGACTTTAATCTTTTCACAGCCATCTGGTGGTTCCCTGACGAATGAGTAGGATTTGTTAGGACGAGGACTAGCTACCACCTTGAAATGAGAATCTGGTGACTCGCATCCCTCAATATCTGTAAGAAGGTATCAAAATTAGTACAGCTCTACACAAAAATTATATCTGTAAGAAAGTATCAAAATTATTACAGCTCTACACAAAAATTATATCTGTAAGAAGGTATCAAAATTATTACAGCTCTACACAAAAATTATATCTGTAAGAAGGTATCAAAATTATTACAGCTCTACACAAAAATTATATCTGTAAGAAGGTATCAAAATTATTACAGCTCTACACAAAAATTATATCTGTAAGAAGGTATCAAAATTATTACAGCTCTACACAAAAATTGTACAGTATGACGGAAAATTGAGCCCTTATTATATTATCCCCAAGGATTTAAAATATTCCAGAGATTTTCATATCATATGAAATGTGTGTGCATAGTAACTTCACTGATACACAAAAAATAATTCCTCTACAAGACAGAAAAGACAAGGCTTGCAGATGTACATGTATGTCTACTAGATCTATACGACCCAATATTTAGTATACAATTGTTATATCAGTTAACTTGTAAAGTTTTGCAATTCTATTTTATATGCAGTACAATTATAAGGTGCACAACTGAAATATCTGTTACCCAGAATGTAGATAAAATAAATGAATAATTTCAATAGAAAGGCATTGCATTTGAATTAATGGTCTTTAGAATACACAAATCTGCAAGCAATATTCTGTTTATAAGCCCTTTCATGTAACTTTAACTGAGCAGCATTATGAATATTCATGATTTTATTGGGAACATATTCAATTAAAAGAAATTGCGCAGTGTTTGAATAGGTGTGTATAAGTTCATCAAACTGATGCACCTTTTTGCAGAGAATCAGTCTCTTTATGGTGATTTTCAGGGAATCAGCAAAATATATTGATTTACTTTTATTTAGTAAAAAATCAGTAGAGGTATAACAATTATTTCTATTCAATGAATATAAGTGTGAAAGCTGATAGACAAAATCTTCAAAGTCAGCCACTTTTGTATCCACAAGTGGTTCTTCTATGTTAGTGAGAGTACCTTTCTCTGTCCTCTCATTGCCTGAGTCTGCTCCACTGGACGGACGAGAGGAGTCCATCTGGCCAGGAATGATGGGGATTGCTGGACTACCGGAATGTGACCCACTCCCTGAGCTCATGTCATCCACACTGATAGTAGGTGTTCCTGTGTCAAGTACTCCTGAGGGGGTCTGAGTTTCCATACTGCGTGTACTACTGGTCCGGTGCACTGGCTCGGGGACTGGAGCACGATGCCCATCGGGAATTTCAATCTGTAACAAATTTTCATTTGAATGAGTAATGGGCATTGCATATATATACAGTTGAACTTTGTTATCTTGAACACCTATATCTCGAATACAAGGGTTATGTCCAAGTGAGTTGGCAATCCTAACTACTTTTTCCTTTTTCGTCTCGTTTCGTGGTTATCTTCAACTTGAATCCTCCAATATCTCAAAGTTTTTAACTTTGCCCCTACTGAGTTTAAAATAACAAAGTTTGACTGTATATGGAAATTTATTTTTTGGACATCTATCTGTGGATTTTTCAAAAAGGTCTAATACAGCATTTAATAAAATTTAAGCAAAATAATGAAACTTAAAAAACTATGTCAATGAATGTCTGGATTCTTATTCACACATTGATATCTGTTTATGCCACTTACTGTATCAAATCTGTTGAATATTTTCAATTAACTATATCTCTAACCAACACAAATGAATCATTTTATAAACCACAACTTTGAAAGATATGTGGACAAAGAATTTTTAATGCCAAGACTCACTCTTTCTGCCTCTTCGGTGTCATGTTCTATGTTCTTGAGCACCAGTTTTTCAATCTCCTAGAGAAAATATGCACATCATGTAATAAATAATTCAAAGTGAAAAGCAACATCTGGTGTCCATTGAAATAGATCTGTATATTATTCCTTCCCAAAGATTTAAATGAAACAGAAGTTAATAGATCCTCATATAACTTTTTTATGATAAAATGTTAACAAATGAATCAAAACAATGCACTATTTACTCAAAAAATAATACTTCCAAAGTAAATAACTTTGTCCCTCCACCCATATAGTATGGTAACACATACCATACTGAGGCCCTCTACACTGTTCCTCTGGTACCGAGACATATTCTTGGGGGAGGGGATGTGAGCTGGGATCCCCAGGGGTTTAGACGTCCGGATTGGCACAATGAGGTTCTGAAGGGCTGCGGGAGCTGTGGCAGACAGTGCATCATGACTCGCCGGGATTGGACTTTGTCGCGCCTTTGGCGTATCACTCCTACTGGAGTTCTTCAACCTTTGTCTGATGGCCTGCAAAACAATCATCAGGAATGATAACTCCTATTGGAGCACAGGAAGAATCATCAGGAAAGACAACTCCTACAGAACACTTTACATACTTTGTGTCAAATACAGTACTTTTAACATATATAAAGCAAAGTTTAAGGATCAAACAATTTTGTGGTACTTTTAAAGTAATTCATGATATCCATTCAGTTTCTACAGGGAATGAAAAACCACCCAGTGTGATTGTTTATGATGGACATACGCTGTAACCATATTTCACTGATTATAAATTCTTTTATTCCTTAATATTTGGGATATATTAGTTTACAGACTTACAGCTAACTGGTCACCTGGTCCAAATGACCTGGATCGTCTGTGATCTTTGGACTTTTTCCTCTGTTTTTTGTCCAGTTTGTGTGAGCTGTGACGAGCCACATCAGCCTCTTCTGTCTGTAAAGAGTCATAAATCTGTCATTCAGTATACTAAAGACACTGTATACTGTATACAGGATTATTGTCGCCCTGTGTTATTTTCGCCCTTTCATACTTCCAAACAATTTTACCCTATTTTACATTTGCCCAGTCACATTTCTGTTTAAGAATCTTTGAATTCGCCTCATCTTAAATTTGCCCACTTGTGTCTAGGGAGAAAGGGGCGAAAATAAAACAGAGGCAAAAATTTTACAGTTTATACAGTATATACACTAGTAAAGAGGTAGCCACCCCCTGAACTTAAACATACTCCATACATTCAATTTCTGAAATTAAATCTTAAATTCAATTTCAGAAGATCAGTGCATTTCTTATCACTGTCTTAAAAGACCAATGTAAATGTTTCGGGTGATTCATGCATTTTTTTTTCAACAATTTAAATTACTTTACAAGTTATGAACTTGTTTTGGAGAAGAGAGTCAAGAAACTTCAATTTTATGGTTTTTGTTATTTCAAAGAACAAACTTTGCTACTGTATATCATGTATTTATACACTATATTCATGATAATACAATAGTTATACATGTATGCATAATGCATGTATTTGCCATGCCTGTTTATATGTAGTCTACAAACAATGGAAAGACTTGCAGCTTTTCATAAAAAGATCATTGCGCCAAATTTAAAAAAAAAAAGGCCTGTTTGCCTTTTTCCAACCCAGATTTTTATCAATGATATGAAGGTAGGTAAAATACTTTAATTTTTCATTTTAAAATTCAGATAAATATTTATGCAAATTTTCATAATCTCTGTAATCATATAACTGTAACATTTTAATCAAACAAGTTTTTTATGAAAAAATTATATCAATGATAATATACATTAAACAATATTGAAAAAAAAAAATTAAAAGCATGAAAAGAATTAAGGAATAAAATGTTTTTTGAGCAGGATTAATGAATTTTCATGGGTTTGCTGTGCCAATTAATGACAAACAAACAGTATATTACTTTAGGCCTTGGCTTTATATTTTTTATAAACTAGAAAATATACACTAATTAAAAACAAGAGTGCACTTGGACACGTGTCACCTGCAGGCGACCTTTTTGTGAAAGTTTGACCCCTCCCATACAGATACAGATAAAGGGACAGAAAGACAATGGAGACAGTGTTCCCTAAGTCAACATAAAATTAATAATTGTGTGACCTGACCTTGGACAATAAATCCAATAAAATCTTTGTTTATATGACATCAGCCAAAAACCTTTACTTGGTTTCAAAAATGACAATTAACCTTTTGTTTATAAATGGCATTACCTCACTTCCAGACAGATGTTGAGTTGACACTTGTTCTGATTTTAATTTATATTGTTTATTTATAATTTATCAGATGTATAACTGATTCTCTGACTAATTCCACAAAGACTGGCCAATAAACCCTTTACATATGTTCTTTGTATGTTTTGAAGACAGTTTGATAACTAATTTTTTTTTTTGGTAGGTTTAGCTAAAGTATGGCTGGAAATACAGTATAAACTTCAATAGTCAATACTGCCAAAAAAAAAAAAAAGTTTTAAAAATGTCATAAATGTCCTAAAATGACATACACTGTAAGATGTAGGCTACCAAGATTCAACAAATTCTGTTGAATAAAATACATGTACTAGAAAACAAATACATATACATGTATATATATATATATATATTGGCCTTAACACGAAGTTGCAATTGCGTGATAAAATAACATTTTACCTACGATGCATATAGAACTTCGAATTAATATAATTAATCGTGCTACTTTTAAAAGTGGATTGTATCCAATACATCACTCATTCTCAGGATTGAGGAATGTTTTTAATGAAGGGTTAACCTGTGTCATCTTTAAAAGCAACCAATGAATTCGTCCATGCATTGACGATCTTTGGAAAACTTACAGTACCCGAGATTTTGAGATCCCCACACAAACTAAAGCCTGAAATCTGTATAGAAACTGTTGCGGCTGCGTAGCATCACTCATCATTCTTTCGGCATAAAATCATAATCTGATGTTTAACACTTAAAATCTTTGGATGACATTTTTAAGATAAGCTTCAGTTTTGTCTCTAGAAATGTTTTTATTTACACAAATAATACATTTTCATGATTTTTTTACTGAGTAAATTGATGACCTAGCATCGTTACAGATACCGGTAACTCAAGTCCCTCTAAGGCTCGAGTAAAAATTAAGGTAAAAACCCCTCTACTGTTCATGACTGTGCATTACCTGTGTGCAGGCGTCGACCTTGAAACTTGACAGAAACTCAGGTGAGGGCCACTGTCCCTTTAGGTAGATTGCTTCTAGTGACCCTGTCCTCTTCAGAGGGCTACTGGTCACTCTCACAGCTTTGGGACGTTCAACTAAAAAATAAACAAATACATATTAAATCTTTACAACTAATGTTAAACATGTACCATGTAGTTAAATACATGTAAAATGGTGTTTACTGCTTGGTTTCTGTGAGATATTTTTTTTTTATAAATACGGATGGGTTGTTGATTTACATATATAACTTAGTACATGTAGCTTGGAAGTAGGTTTTACAAAGTAAACTGCATTTTCACATCTTCAAATAAATTTGGACAAAATCCCACATGCAAAAAAACTAAAATTTTAGACCCTTTCATGATAACTGCGAAACTTCTCTTTTTCAGGGAAAACTGATATAGTTTGGCAAAGTTTGAGTTGGCATATAATTAAATGACATTTATTTTATCATGTTTATAAACATATAATATATATTATTTAATATTATTAATACATTTTTACATAGATCTGGTTTATAAAAAATCTCTTAATGTTAGCTGTATCTAAAATAACCCTCTCAATTATACACCATACTTTAAACATGCAAACTTTTACAAACTTAAATTCCAGATTTATACATTTAAGCAAAAGTGAAGGTAACAGGTAGTTTCTGCTGATTATCATTCAACATATCTTTTTTTTCTCTTAATATACCAAAACCCCAGGTGCCATGATTTGCTGAACACCTTAAATAATGGCATACACTGCTTAAAATACTATAATGGCATACACTGCTTAAAATACTTCCTGATGTAAATTTCAGTGCATTAAGATTAAAATTTAAATATCATATTTTCAGCACTCATTTATAATTGAGAAACTAACATTTTTAAAATTCAGAAACTAACATTTTTTTAAATGGAGCAAAACTGATTTTTTTTTATGGCAATTCCATAGTTATTTTAAGTTGAATTAATTATATACTGTACTCAAATATGAAGACGAATTCAATCATGGCTTATGCATATAAATAGTCCAACCTCATTATCTTGAAGTTGATCATTGTTGATGGGGTTGAGAAATATAATGTCATGCTTTCTGAGATACGGAGGTTAAAAATAACTAAGGAAAAAGTGGTTGGAACTTCCAACTCACTTCCACATATTCATGATATTTGAAGCTCAATTAAAAATTTACAAGTTAGTATAACTGACAGAAATAAACCAGGGGCTGACAAATAGATTTTTCAAGCACTTGCCCACGGGCAAGTGCATGGTCAAATTCACTTGCCCTACTTCAATTTTTACTTGCCCCACAGTAAACTATAAATAATAATTAAAGATAACACTTAAAACAAAACAATTTTGATTACATTTAAAACAATAAAACATACTTCCTTTAATTTTTTCATTGTTGTGTACTATCCAGCACTTCATATTCATCATCATGAATTAATTCTTGACCAAATCAAAAAATTTTGCAACCTCAATGTGTTGTTCTGAATATTGGTGACATTTGAAAACTCCTGCCAGTAAGTACTAAGTACCATACAATCTATGTCACTATCATATTTCAGCTATTGTAATGATACTTGTTATTTGTTAAAAATAATTGTTTCCGACCGTTGTTTTTATTTCTCATACTTGGCATGCTTAGTCGGTTTTGTACCGAGTTCTTTCGCTAAAATTGATATGGACGACGTACTTATCATTTGCTTTAGATCGTTTTCTGTCTCGTAACTGTCAAAACTTTCTCCATTTCTCCGACGCCAATTTGTCACTTTCAATTAAGTACAAAATTAATACGTATGCTAAAAACTTTTGGCAAAACTTGTAATGAATGGAATAAAAGATACATGATGACACAATTAAACTGGTTTGCGTACGAAGTGTGACAAGCAAAGGAAGATAACTCTTACGACAAAAAAATATGGATTGCATTCAAGTAAAACTAAAGCATTTTTATAAATATTTATTGATTGATTTTTTTAAAGTCACTTGCCCACGGACAAGTGCCTATTAAAAATTCACTTGCCCGCCTCTAAAATTCACCAGCCCCAGGTGTCAGGCAATGGGCTTTGTCAGCCCCTGTAAACTAAAACTGCATGTTTTACATCAGATGAATCATAAAAGTATTATATTAAATTTTGTTCACATTTTAAATATAGTGACGACTTATTGTGTATTTTTAAATAAATAAAAAAAGTGGTGAACAAAATAACCACACAGCACTAGAAATTGTCACCAACTTTAACCTGTTATCTGCCTAATTTTCAGTAATAAAATATGCATGGTAAAAAAAACTCAAGAAAGTTTGTCTTTCAGTTTCAGATTTAATAGAATGTAAATTTCAGGGTCCTCACACCACTTTTTGGGACTGGAACCGGCGCCGTAAAAAATATAGAAAATTAGTGACCTTTGTAGGAATTTTGGGGTAAACATTTTTCATTAAAATCATTATATGTTGGGTTTATGGTGTTTGTTATCAACTAAATTACTGTTTTTCACTACAAAGGAATATGAGTAGCAAGTTAAGTTATATATCCAACATTACTATATGTTCTTATTATATACGTCAGGCGCAGATCCAGGAATTGAAGTTTGAGGGGACGCAAAAAGTAGGCAGGGGGTCCTGGATTCTAGAGATTTTGTAGGGTAAAAATGAGGTCTACCGAGAACATTTTTACATTTTCTCGACGAAACTCTGATTTACGCTTTACTTTGACAATTTTTAGGGGCGCGCCCCCTTTAAATCCGCCACTGATATTTTTTGTTGTTGACCTTATGGTATTAATAAAACTAAATCTCTAAATGTCCTAACATGGTTTCTTTATTTTGTGGTGGTCAGGCAGGTTTGATCACAGAGCTCCCACTGGAGCGAAAATATTTTTCGCCACTATTCGCGATGAAAGGAATCACATTTTTACATCTCGTCTCGACAAGTGTACAGTGTTAAACACTCCACTAATAGCACTATTTCAATTTGTTTATATCACAGGCATTGTTTTAAAATTGTAAAATTTAAAGTTGTATCCACTTACAAAACTGATATAGGAATTATTTCTACATTTATACAATTAATCTGATACTGATATTAGCCAACTCTTAACAGTAGATGTCCTCTTGTTCATAACTTTTTAGCCTGGGGAGGGGGGTTACAGACTTAGTAAAGATATATGACATTTTTAAAAATGAAAAAATAATTTAATAGGCGAAAATTTTAATCATATCAACAATTTATTGTGAAAAGAAGTAATTAAAATCAGGTTTAAAACTTGGCTTAATTTAACAACTTGGACACTGGGTGTATATGCATATAAATTCATATAACTGAAAATAATTCAGCATAATTGACAAAAGTATTGTTTTGTTTCCAAGCCAGTATCTCTTTCACTCTTTGTCAGTTTATGGTATAATGAACACACTATTTTGACTTTAATCAGGTAAAATTAGCAGCCATGCTCTGCAATTTTCGTCATGTTTGAATGGTATATCTAAAAAAAGTTCATTTTCGCCACTTTTGAATTTCTTTTCACCACTTTTGGAGAAAATTCGCAATTGGCGCAAATGGCGAATCACAGCTCGAGCCCTGGTTTGATCACCAGTGGCCAGATAACTCTGTTCAACTTGCAAAAAAATCTGTCAGTCTGCCACAGTGCATACTAAGAAAAATCACTTACACATCTCAGTTCTTCAAATGCACATAGACGTTTTACAACAATGATTAAAGCTAATGAAAATAACAAGAAATAGTGAGTAAATAATTATGATTTTTTTCTTTTTATAATTTATTTCAGGAATTTCATAAATAATCCTATTTACCAACTTTCACAAATATTATAATCATCATCATTAACAATATGACTGACAAAGTATACTCCCCACCCAGATCAATAGATGTGTCATACTATGACATACTGCTGTTAAACAAGAGTAAAGTGGAAAACCCAAGATTTCCCCACACAGTGAACTGAACAAAAATATAATCTTGTGCACAAACATAAACCATGTAAAAACAAATACACTGTATATGTTGTACATGAATGAATAAATGTTTGCATTATATTTAAATGGGTTTCAAAATAAATTTCATTAAAATATCGAACAATATTGAGCTTAGAAAATATTTCTTGAATATGATAGTAAAGATTTTATTTTTTAAATTCTCCAATTCAGCATGCCTTATTGGAAGGTAAAATTGGCACTATGCCACAATTTCGGCCATTTTAATGATTGGTGTCTTAAACAAGGTTTCAAGTATTTCGTGTAACTCGCCTGTAAATTATAAAATAAACTTTGAAGGAAATCCTTTTTATTAAGCTACTTGATATAGATAAATATCTTTCCTAGGGAGGGTCTTCCGGCGATTACCGATTTCACTTTAAATAAGAAACATATTCACTCAAAAACTGTGTAGTGGATTTGACATTTCGACAAAAGCTTCCAAAACTTGGCCTGATGCCAACTTCTTTCACTGCACGTTGTTCAGGCTAAAATTTTACCTTTGAAACTTGGCGAATTCGGAGACTTCCTCTCCGGGGAGTAGTTGGAATCTGGAGATCTTCTTGGTACCCATGGTGTGGGTGAGGACGGACTTTTTCTGGTGGGACTGCCTTTCAATTTGAAGGGTTGCACGGCTTTCATAGGCCGCATCGTTGAGGGCGACGCGTTCTTCCGCACTCGTTGCGGCTGTGTAGACATTTTTCCAATGCTATATCCAGAAAAGGAAGCACAGTTAGTTTATAAACACCCAACTGAACGAATAGAGCTTTCAGCCTTCCATTAACCACTCAATTTTCGATAAAATACAGTCAACGTAAGTTCGGCAGACTTTACACACAAAAATGCAGATCACGTGACTTTCCGATGTTATTTCATTGGATAAAATACTCCAAGTGCATTATAAGTGACAAAACTTGGAACTTACTTCGTAAATTTATCAATTTGAAGATAAAACAGTTTATGATGATTCCTCTCACAGAATACTGGTGTGCATGCTTCTAATTTAGTAAAATATATTAATCTGTTGATGTTTTTTTTTTTAAACTATCGATCAAGAAAGAAAAATAGTAAAAAGTAACCTCGCTAGGTTGGCGGCCGGATTTGCAATGTATTGTTTTGAAATGCATAAAATCAGCTAGAAATAATGAAAGTTTAGGTTACTTTAGAAATAAATAAACAAAAAGAATATAAGTCTTTTATTTCTAAAGGTTACATGTATGACAGGGGCGGATTCAGGTTTTTTTTCCGGGGGGGGGGGTTCACATCAAGCGCATTTATAATATATAATTATATGTAACATATGTCAGGCTCGGAAAATTTTTGACAAGCAAAATAAAAAAAAAAAGAAGAAGAAAGAAAGAAAACGAAACACCTTGCCCAAACCCGAAAATCCTATTTCGTGGGTGGTAAGGTTTCTAAAGAGGTGCGTGTTCCGTGTTCTTAGGGGGAAGGGGGTTTCCAAGATCATTTTTTCGCTACTTTTACATAGACTTCTCCGGCCGACTCCCCCACCCCCCCCCCCCCCTTTTCAAGATCCATCCGTGTATGGACCTGTCAGTGATACCTGGATTTTTATTATAAAGTACGTGTAAAACGCATGTTTTAAAGTCACTATAGCTGAATATGAAAGTAAACCAAATGTAACCTTGTAAAATTAAAAAGGAAAATTCATTGCTAAAAAATGATTGGTCCTTTTCATTAAAAATATCGCAAAATAGATTTTTCCCCGACTCAGGCTGCACTTTTTTGACAAAATAAATAAATAAATAAATAATTAAATGAATAAATAAATAAAAATAAGGGCGAATCTTAGGGTTAAAATTAAGAAAACGATATTTAGGGCTAATCTAGGGCTAAAATTAGGAAATTTATAGCTAAATCAGGGCAGTTTTAGACATTGAAATGACGCGTATATAGTGCACTTTTTTTGAGAAGATGTGGGAACAAGGCGTGCAAAATGCCTACATAGCTTCAAATGTAGGAACATTGTGAATTTAGTATTTAAAGTTCTTATCATTGAAAGGTATGAAAGTATGAGAAACAAAACTTTCCTTTGGAAAATTCTTTCGACACAGTCCCGGAGCAACGGTTTCAAAAGTGTGTGTGGGGGGGGGGGGACTTCCCAAAATTATCTGACAAGCAAAATTTACTGTTCACATCCTGCAATTTGACCTCCCCCGTTCTACGGGCCTGCGACAAAAATCATTCTACGATTTACAAAAACAGGTATGTTGCCATGGTTAATTACTAACTTTAAAACTGGAATTAATACTAACAGTTTACTCTGTACACGTAATTCTTAGGATTCGAACCCAAGCAATAAAATCCTGAGTGTCAATTTTTCATTTGAGACTACACGCTAATCACTCCGCTACATGCATACCGCTTATACCAAACATGTGATACATGTATGACCTTTGACTAAATGGACTTCAATAACGAAGGTTGTGCCATAAAAGTGTATTTTTAAGGTAAAGTGGGGTCTTTGCTCCATATGTTAACCGAAGAATGTACACTTTCACGCAAACTTTGAGTAAAATCTTTTTAAAGATGGAGCGAAGACCCCTCAATGCGTTTTAGTGTGAAGAATTGGTCATTTTTGCCCTCTTTGGTGTATGCATGCTAATCACAGGCACTTGTACACGTTTCGGTATAAATTTTTTAACCCATAGTATAATAATATATTATTATACTATGGGTTAAACAATTTATTACCGAAACAAGTGCCTGTGTACCTGTGATGCTATTTCATAGATGAATTATTTTAATCTTTGTGAGATTGTTGCGATTTGTGGAGATTTTACATCAAGTACTAATATACGTTAATGTTAAATGAAATATCAAAGAAAATTTGTCATAATTGCATATGAGACTTAATTAATGTTTTACTTTTTTATCTGTCGCACAATATAGGCATTTCGATCGCCTTGTTCTCCCATCTTCTTTATATAATGCATGCAATCTACTATTATATAGAGTGACTTGATTTCCTTCATATATTGTGTATACAACTCTCCTTACCACCTTACGAGGTGTCTGTTTCCTAAGACCGGGGGTGGGGTGGGGGTGTTATTGTGGGTATGGTCGTGGTCTTTCATTTGAACAAACTAGAATCTCCTAAACTAAAGAATGCTTTATGACAAGTTTGGTTAAAGAGGGTGTTGCAGTTCTTTTGTTATTTTCCCTCAAGTTGTAGCAGTTTAAAAAAAAAATTTAAATAACAGAAAACGGTCTTAAATTTTTTTCAGATACAACGGTATATACAGCACGTGCACAATGTAGAAAAATATTTAGAAATTTCATATCGACTTCCAATTTGCCATTAAATGAAGTGTAATTTAGTCACATAGCAAAATAAGTTAAGTTTTCTGTTTTTCAAATAGGGAATCCCCATTGTTCTGAAAAATTGCCTTCTTGAAACAGAATGAATTTGATATACACATAAAGAGACAGGATTTTTCTTCAAAACTGCCATTTCCCATTTTTTGTTTCAAAGAGGCATATTTTTGAAAATCACAAAAATCGAATAAAAATTATTATCTTTCCGAAATGCAAAATGTGCACATAAAATAGCACATGATACTTCACTGTCGGAGCTGGTCAAGTGCATGCATGGTAAATTTAAAGCGTGTGGACTCTATGCAAAGATTCATGAGAATGAGTTCGAATCCTGGAATGGCTGGTATATATATACATATTTTTTTCTTATACATGTATAATGGAAGTGTCATATTGTAATTTTTGAATTTACTACCACCCGGTAAATTCAAAAATTACAATATGACAGAAGTACAATGTAACATCTCTCTTGAGAGAGAAAGAGAGAGGGAGAGAATGTCAGAAAATTAATGGGTAATATTTTAAATGCTTGCAGAATTAAATTGTTTTCTTTGATATTGTGATCTAAAACTAATAAGATATATATTTAATGTTATTATTTAGTGGTGATGTCTTAAAACATAAAGTACTATCATTTTAAATAATTTAATTTTTTCATACGCATTTCGTTTCATTATTGATCTGTTAATTAGTGGAAATTAATGTCATATTTGACTTGAAACAACTAAATTGAAATGAATCAATGGAATTTCTTGGATATTGCATCAACAGCGTGAATTATTGGACACATTTTTATATATACTGAAAAATTAAATTAACGCACGCTGTCTATACAGTACATCTTTCAAAATGATGTGCGAGGTGCACTTGCCATTAATTGTGCTTTTTTATCGTTCTAACTTTTCTCGTGCAATCTGGCGAGAGTGACCAGAAAAAAAGTTTACTTACAGGTCGCCAGTCTATGTTGGGAAAAAAGTATATGCATGAAATAAACGTAAAATGTGAAATATTTTGTTATAACAAGCTGGACATACCCGTCGTATAAATAGAGGAAATTCAATGTTTTGTAGATGAATATGGAATTTATTTCACGGTGGGACAGGATTTTTTTTATGTTTTCACGAGTGCGAAGCACGAGTGAAAATATCAAAAAATCCTGTCTCACGAGTGAAATAAATTCCATATTCATCAACAAAACATTGAATTTTCTGTTTATTTAAATATTACATTTTCTTTGATTTTCCCTTTGCCTAGATGTTTTTTTCTTAACACAGTGTCATAGGCTTGACGTCATAGTTGAGCGGTTGAGACGTCCAATAGATAGTTTTCAGTAGGCCCAAATTAACAAGAGTTATCCCCCGTTGGCCGCCATATTGGAGGTCAACATGCTCATATTCCTTCATTATTCAACCAACTTTAACTTTTTATACTGGCCATTGTGGGGTAGGAAGCATTGTTTTTCTGAAAAATATACATTTGTTAAAGCCTCCTTTATTTCATTATTTTTATTCTATAAAGATTTTCCCCAAATATTTCTGCTACACCCTCTTAGATTTGGTAAGACAAAGAGGAAAAATTACCAGGTTGACCACCAAGATGACGGCCAAGGGAAATAACTCGGAGAGAAAATACACTGTACGTCATATGAAAACTATCTATAGAATAGAAGTTGTGTGATTGAAAACATTACATAGCATGGATTTTAGCAACATATTTGGGAAGAAATTTGCAGTTTTAGCTCTATCAAGATGCTTAGTTACTATCTCTATCTTACGACAGAACAGAAATTATTTTTTACTTACTTTGATATCCTTTCACACTGTGAGAGAATATCATTTTTGGTATCCTTTCACACTGTGAGAGAATATCACTTTTATTCAATAAATAAATCACAGTATTTCACTGTTGAAAATGTAATAAATAAAGTCATCTACGTAGCATTATCTCTAGTTAGAGATAACTCCTCATGCGTCGTGGGTATTTAAATGTCCTTCTCGATTTAGGGAATAATCGCAAGTTTCTGCAAAACCCTCTTTAGCATTGTTCTGCAGAAGAGGTCTAGGTCAAAGGTCAAGGTTGAAAGAAAACATTGTGTGTGAAATCCTTGTCCAGAGCATATTTTATATCCCCTTGGCACACTTTACCTAGAGAGTGCCTGTGGGCAGAGAGTGCGGAATTTTGGAATGATCTTAAGCCAATTTTGTAGATAAAAGATCAAGGTCAAAAAGCCTCTCTGTGTAAAATCCTTGTTCAGAACATATTTTTTTCTTTCCTTGGAGCAGTTTGGCTTAAACTTCACCCACAGAGTGCCCATAAGTACAGGGTATGCAATCATCTTGAGCCAATTTTGTATATGTCAAAGGTCAAGGTCAGGAAATCTTTTTTTGCAAAATCCTTGTCTGGAGTCTCTTTGGTGTCTTCGCACTTAGTCAATATTTCGAGAAAATACAGCAGTAAGTGGGAATGGGATGCAGGTGAACAAAAGAAATATATTAATTAAGGTAGGCTATATAGTCTGTTTTAAGATTATAATACACCGAATAAAATATTTTGTATAGCGAATATACCTGGTATATAATATGAATGGAATATTAATGTGATGTATTGAGTTTCTGTTCTGGTATAAATATATCTCTTTTAAATATTTGATAATGATATGCAAATTACAGAGTAATTTAATTAAAATTATTTTTAACTTCCAGGGCACACAAAATTCAGTTTGCTCTTATAGTAAATTCGCTATATCCGAGTTTGTAAATATCTGTAAAATTTTACTAAGAATTGTTAAGAATATTTTGTCAGGGATTGCAAAAAAAAAAAACTTCGCTATATCCGTAAATTCACTATATTCGTGTTCACACTAAACAAGTTTTACTAAGAATTATTGAGAATATTTTGTCGGGGATTGCAAAAAACTTCGCTATATCTGTAGATAGGTCAAATTCATTATTTGGGCTGTGTTGACCAAAGACCAAACTACTGAATGTTCCATGCTTTAGATAAATATTTTTAATCACAATTGATAATCATATTTTAGATATTGAAAATTGTTTCCAATATACACATTTTTGTATCAAACTTAATTCATTTCTTAATTAATTTTGAATATTTTTATCAATCTTTAATTTAAAAGAAATGTAGACATATTTAACCACATTTATATTTCTGGAATTTTGGTTGTTGTTGTTTTTTTTGTTTTTGTTTTTTTAATTTTTATCATATTTTTTTTACTTAAATTTTCATTTAGTTTATTTTTATACTATTTTTTAAGGTAGTAATTCTCAGGTAAAATACAAATCAAAAGCCTGAAAGGCTTCAATGACGTCGAAGAAGAAAAACAATTTCAAAAGATCATTTTGAATTTGAAGATAGCAATAAGTCAAGTGAGTGACTCAGGAAACGTAATAAAAAAATAGTTTAAACAAAATATCAAAATTACAGTCTGGGGCCTTATGTCATGGTCCGAATGGAGCAGGGTTCGAATTGACCAGATACCGTCGAATGTGTTCATGTCTTTCAGTCAGTTGAAGAACTATGAAGGATTTCATGAATTTATATAATATTTTTTTCTAATTGCCAATGTCAAAGCATTGTATTAGTGATTGCATCTAAACTACAACCAAGACTCTGTTCTGTTACAATTACGATCGAGTTACGATCGGGCGTGGTATACGGTATACCGGGAAATTGAGGAAATGGAGAAATACAGCAATACTGGTCAATATCATCGGTTTTCAGGATAGAGTTGGTTAGAAGATTGTATAAGTAAAGCTAAGATTTAGAAATTCAATCTTTTCAGTCTTGTAGTATTCGTGTTTATGTAATTTTGTAATTATTTTACCTCCTGTTGTGTTGTTTATGTTACACGGTTATCGTTCCGAAATGTTATTCATGTCATTCAACGCACCTTTCTGTAGAAATTCATCCGCAACAACCATCACGTTTTTCTTGTGTGAGAATAAAACATAATATTGTTGTTTTGCAATAGAATTAATTGCAGATATAATTGATGCAGTTTTATTTTCAAGCTATTATTCATTTTGAGCGTTTTCAAAGAAATTGGTTTATAGCTATTGCTACTTTCTATTGCGGATGCATCGACTGACACATTCGGTCGCGTACATATCCGGTCACGATTTCAACTGGGCGCTTGCTAGATGACGTTCGAGCTCCAAGAGCTCGACGTCATAAAAATACATGAAAAACAGACTAAATTCTGCTAATCACTCAGGTGTAAAAACCAAAATGCTGGCTACGTGGGAATTTGATTTTGTAAAATGTTGGCACTCCTTTGGGTACCATTTTTGTTGGAGTTTGACCTACGTTTGAAAAGTCAATACTCTTGAACACCTCGTGCTAGGGCTTTCATTCATATTTCAAAGATATTATTCCTTGTACCATTTCTTATGTATCATTATGATACATTTTTTACTTCATAAACTTGAGCTTGGAGTTTGACCTACTTGTGTCTGACCTGGCCATAATTTCTGAATGGTTGTTGCAAGGGTTTTCATATTTCACGTGTATTCCTTGTGATAAGACTTTTTTTTTTAATTGCACCATTAAGTGCATTTTTGATCTCTTGACCTTGGAGTTTGACTTGCATTTCAGTAACTTTAAGCTTCACCATAAGCTGCATGCCCTGTAGGGTCATCAGTGTTTCAGAAACACATATTGTTGTATTATAGTAACACCTCTTTGCTTGCCCGGTATTTTTTGGCTTCATTTAAATCGACTCTGTTATCTCTGATAATTTGCAAAATAATGTAAAAATTCACAGTTAGATCTGAACAATGCACAAATGCCATATAAAAGTACATAGAGGATATTCAATGTTTTGTAGATGAATATGGAATTTATTTCACGTGTGGGACAGGATTTTTTTTTTATATTTTCACGAGTGCGAAGCACGAATGAAAATATCAAAAAATCCTGTCTCACGAGTGAAATAAATTCCATATTCATCTACAAAACATGGAATTTTCTGTTTATTACATTTTCTTTGATTTTCCCTTTGCCTCTCAGTGTCTTTTTCTAACACAGTGTCGTAGGCCTGACGTCATAGTTGAGCGGTTGAGACGTCATAGCTTAGAAGTTGTGTGTCAGATTGAAAACATTACATAGCATGGACTTTAGCAACATATTCAGGAAGAAATATGCAGTTTTAGCTCTATCAAGATGCTTAGTTGCTATAGATCTTTATCTTATGACAGGCTAGAAATTATTTTTTTACTTAATTTGATATCCTTTCACACTGTGAGAGAATATCATTTTTGGTATCCTTTCACACTGTGAGAGAATATCACTTTTATTCAATGAATAAATCACAGTATTTCACTGTTGAAAATGTAATAAATTTTAACATCCTACACTTTAAGAACATGATGCTTTTTAGCTACGATCACAAATGAATTGTTCTACAATTTGAACTTTTTCTCTCATTTAAAGTTTAAAGAGACAATCTGCATTATTTCCCTTCTACTATAACACAAAAATAGAAAATGGATTATCCATGCTTGGCAAGTGTTTATTCATATAGATAATAAAAGTGTAAAAATTGTTTTAAAATGCTAAATTTTGTCAAAGAACAAATCGGAAAACATGTCAAAGGTTTCATGTCTCATTAAAACATGTACATTTCTTCTCAAATTTTAAGCATTCCAATAAATTCAGGCAAACATAATTGTTTATTGGTTCTTCGTTTACAAATTATTAGTAAAATTCCATCCATACATATTCCGAAATATTTTACCATTGATTAAAATAAAACCATTTTGAAACATGGCAACTCTAAATAAGAATCAATCAGTTTCTTTAATACTTATATGCATCAGACAAAAAAATAGTTGGCCATTTTTTAAAAATTGATTGTGTTCAAATATTCAAATTCAAAATGTAAATGGCAAATATATAAAATTTTTGAGCCCCCCTGTTAAGTATACAAGATAAATAATACGGCAAAATTTAATTCAAAATCAAGTTGGTATGACTGACAGGAGGAAAGTTTAAATCCTCTGTTTGTTAAGACAATAAAAACCAGATTGCAAGATGAAAAAAATAATCAATCTTTAATCAATATACATAAATTATTTGTACAAATGCCCTTCACCAAGAGATCAAAAAATTGCATGTAATGTGGAATGAAGCAAATATAGTCTAGTTATAAAATTACCATTTTAAATCAAGGCAATCAAAAAGTGAAAACACAAATTACACATATATATGTATGAATCACAAATCAAAGCTTAAAATCTGACCAGTCAGAAAGGACCTCAGATTATCCAAAGCAGGTTTCTTAGAGTTATCATCCTTTGTTCATCAAGTTTTTTTCCCCCAAAATTTTTTAAACAGTTAATTCCCTTTTTGAATTCATTCAAAAAAAAAAAAAAAAAAACAAAAAAAAAAAAAAAAAAAACACCCTTCCAGATGAATTTCAAAATAATACTTGGTATCAAAACATGAAATGATCATGGGAAGAGATATTTGGAAAGACAGGAATTTATTTTACAGAGTAATTGCTAGAAGTTGCCAACTGCAAATTCTTGCCAAGTCCCTAAATTATACCTACAATTCACCTTATGAGCACCAATTTATGTAAGATTATATCTTAAAAGCAGAAAGGTTGAGCAAATCCCAAAACTTCATTTTTTTTCTGTGCAATAATCCAAATTGAATTCAAATATATTCAATGGTGGTACACTTTAAGTCTTATCAAATGATGTAACTGAGGTACATTTACTTTAATTATCAAAACATCACAATACATGATTTTTCAATAAACATTGTGAAAACAAGTAAACAAGTGTTACACACAATTTTTTTTTTAACTTTACAAAAGTACAGAAAACAATTCATATGTGTATATGAGTTTAAACATTGGTTCGTTGATCAAAATGAATTTTTATTTCATATGAGGTCATAATATTTCAAAAAGTACAAATCATCTAAAATATCTATCTAAATTTATAATGCTAAAAAGAACACATAATATGCACATGTAAGGCTCTAATCACTACCATTGAGGAATAGATGTTGTTCACTGAATGTTGATTGTTAAGCTGTGCCTATAATCCATTGTCTGAAACAAAAAATGAAAACAATTCCCAGAAAAAAAACAACTCAACATGCACATATTTTACTGGTCTAAATTTCACAAAGCATCATGATACATACAGAATTTGAGAATTTTTATTTTCTAAAGCCATTGCAAGTCTCTCTGAATTTAATAGAAACTTGGCAAAATCATCATTGATTGTGTAGTGAGAAATAACAACTGCTAAAAATTTCGAATATACTAAAATTGCCATAATACACATGTAGTACCGGTACATTTATAAACAGTCAACATACCAATCATGTTTTTGTTTACATTACAGGTATTTACTTTTCAGTTCCCAATGACACACTACCCGGTACAGTAAAACACAGTTAAGGTTCATAAACCCTCTGCTCATTCATATAAAATATTGCTTTAACTGTTCTGATTTTCCAAAAGAAATGTATTTTATAAGTAAAATACAAACAAATATGACATAGCTTGCAGGGCAAAACTGGACAAAAAAGACACTTCAACTGGACAAATTTATAAAGGAATAATAGACATAAATGTCATTAAGAGTTATCTTTCTTATCAGAGTATCACTGAACCTTAAAGAGAACATGCTTATAATGAATTTATGCTTACAGCAAAGTGGTTTTCATTCCCAGTATTTTTAAAATGTGTTGTGAACTAACAGATATTATGGATTGTAACGAATCAAAATTGTAGGTCCCTAACACTTCATTAGAAACGTGTTTTACTGTATATCTGAAAATACCTTGTTAATCAAATCCGTACGTTCCTTTCATCTGTTCTACTTTTGTTATATAGGCTTGCTCTGCGTCTTCTTTACTCATTCCTAAATGAGAAACAAATATCTATGGTTATTTAATTTGAAATTTGATAAAATTCTTACAGAAAATATCCCCACACCCCACTTTTCATTTTAAAAGTAATTTTTAATAAAAATCACTAGAAAAATAATTCTAAAAAGTAATGATAATTATCAGTAAGTGGATTCAAATTAGCTGCAGAATTGTAGCGTTATGGTTTTATATTTTAGTCTTTGATTATAACGCTACAGATCCCGTAATGTAAATAAAGTGCAATTTACAACGCAAGATTTTCTGCGCACTTTGGGGATGTATTTCGCCATTTTCCAGCGTTGGTTAATCAACGACCTTTCATCCCCTTATTCTAGACATATTCTATAACCAACCTCTATATTTTATCCACCTCCTAACCCTTTATAGTCTTCTGTACAGACCACTAAACTCGCTTGTTGTGAATTTTATGCCATCCGACAACAAATTCACAACAAGTGAGTTTATTGGTCTGTACAGACAACTACATGTATAAAGGGTTTGGAGGTTTGACTTTAACCATACCTTTCTTTCCATTCCAAGCATCCCATTTAGCTTTGCCTTTTAAATCTAACATTCCTGGCCGAGCTGAAATATAAACAGGATTAAAAGATTTGAACACACATAGTTTCTTTATTGCACTGGCTATGAAAGGAATTCTAAATACACATATTCTTATTAAAGCCAGACTTTTTAATTATATGCAAAAATAAATGTTAAAACATAAATTGCAAAAAATATACTCTCTGACACTATTTTATTGGCAGAAGCAATGACATACATTGCATACATGTACAGAAATTTTTAGAAAGATTGAAATATTATTCAGAATATAAACATTATTCAGAATATTATCAACACATGATGAAATTGTCTCTGTGTTTGGGAAGAAATAAGAGGACAAACAGAAAGTTTAGACAGCTGTAAAATTCAACTCTTCCTGCACATATGTAAACAACATTGTGTGTTCATTGTCAGATTGCATGTGTAGAAGCACAATTCCACTCATATAGTTTCTTTTTTCATTAGGATTAGAAATAATGGTGTAATTTGATTAATATTGTCTACAATTATGAACAGAAATGAAAGGTATTTTGGCATTTTTTTTTTTTTGAATTGAAAGTGAAACAATTGTCTTCACTGCAAAAAGAAATCCATAATACAAGAATTGCTGAAAGTGTGCAATATTAACACACACTATTCACCAAAATGCCACACAAGTCGCGGAATAACTCGTTTTCTCAACAAGGCTGAAAGACACAGTTTACCTCTTAGTAAGTACATTGTATGCCATATAAAGTTTATCTTTAAATTCTCATCTCTCTAGAGAAAAGGATTTTGGGGTGGAGGTCAAGGAATGAAGGTGGGGGTGGTGGTGGGATGAAATTCATAAGTTATTTTTACATGTGTTGAATTCCAATCAGTTATACAGAATTTTGAGCATATATAAATTGTACTGTATCAAATTCATAGGTTCAGATCAATGTTTTAATATTTTTAGTCATTCATGCACTAATCAAGTGACAATAACCATGATAACATAAAAGTTTTTACACAGTCAAAACAAATACACTGTATTATCATGATTATGAGTGTAACATATTATTCTTTCTCAGTATCTGCAGTATCTGTATGATTCATACAGAGGAAAAAAAGACATAATTCTGCCTTTCTAACTGCCCTATATGGATTAGCTATCAGACTGGACAGTGACCTTGAATGACCTACCTGTGTTGACATCGCCGACCGTGGCCTGTTTATATAGACTGTACACCTCCAACAGATCTTGGTCTGAGGGGTTGTTCTTCAGCTTTTTAACATCCTCAGCTGCTTTCTGGAACTCCTACAATATATGGAAGGTTAAAATTTCTTTAAAGAGGACCATGTTTATTTTATAATGTTAATTTATACCCTCTAGTTGTCCCACAATGTTTATTTACAATATTCCTTGCATTTGCTCTTTGTGTCTGAGAAATATTCATGAGTTTTGTAGTCTTCCTATTTCTTGCTGCAAAGCATTTATTTAGATGAGTTTTTACTGGTACATAGAATGTACAACCTAACTTGCAAAAATTAGAAGTTGTGGAAGAATTTCAAACTGATGAGTTGCAAAGAAAAGTTGTTGCTAATAGTAATTGGTTTTACAGTAATCAAATATTTGGCTGCATTTAGAACATAATGTGTCAGTTTTTTGTTTCAAAGGGACTGGTTCAAAACTTTGCATACCCAGAATTTAAAAGACTGGTAGTGGAACTCTTTCATGACAATGAAAGTTTTGTTTATCACATCACAGATGGAAAAACATATGTGGCTCCTTTTGAAACCTTTAAGTTCAATCATCATGACACAAGATTTAAACATTACGATATTCTTTCATTTTACATTAATTCTGTTCAATACCAACTGCATATTTTATAAGAATTGCTTTTTAGTATAAACATAAATGATTTGTTAATTTTCTTTAATATGTTTAAAATAAAACATATTTTTCAATTTGCCTAATTTCATTCAATTTTTAATTGATCGCAATGAATTGATCGTATCCAAAATTATAGTAAAAAAATTTAGAGATTTTTTTTTCAACTTGGCAATTTCAGCAATGACATAGCATTATTATAATAAAGTCTTTCAATCAATAGGTTAACATAATTTTATATCTTAGCACTGAATAGAGAATAAGAACAAAATAACACCCTGAAGATGGATAAGAAAATCATCTTCTGGTAACATTTACATTTTCTCCAGGCAATATACCTGGTGAATCATTGATATTTGCTGATCTCATCAAGGTGTCTCTATCGGCACATTAACAGGAAATGTTAGATAAAGGGTATTCATATGAATCATTTAAATATTGATTTAATCTTGTCCTTGCATGTTGTAAAATTATAGTTATCATATATTGCCTGCATTTTACACACACACAAAAACAAAAAAACAATTTGTTCAGATGATCATGTTGATTATCTGTGCACTCTCAATATTCTACAATACAAATTTTCTCAAGCTTACAACGTTTGCATGAAATTTAAACAACTGAGTGTTTATTATTATTTTAAATAATTTTAATAAAATGGTTTGACATGATCTTTCTGCAAAAAAATCTCTTCAAAGTCATTGCAAGCAATATTGCCTTTGATCCGCCCATTTGAAAAAATATCGATTATTTCGAACAACAGTTCATAAAGAATAATTTGAAATGTTTTACAAAGCGTTGCAGTAAGATTAAAGCAGTCAGTTTTTTCACTTACGGCTGAATTCATGATGCTGTAAATGAAGAAATAATAAAATGCTTCTGACTTGAGTCCAAAGTGCGAGTTGACACCACGCCTGGATGCTATGGACTACTGCCGGATATTGAATAAAATACAAAAACGGACAAAGTGATTTCCGGAAAAAGTTGGATCTATGGAAGTTTTATTCTTTGGCATACAATTGCTAATTTACACAGACTTTTTAATTTTTAGCTTAAAAAAATATCAAATTTAAAAGTGGGAATGGGTCCGACGTAGTACTTATAGTTTTTGGAAGTGTGAAAAGGGGGGGGGGTGAAAATTTAAGCCTACCTGAAAACTGTTTGACACAAGCAAACTCGGAAATCCTATTTTGGGAAGGGGGGAGATTCCAACTTTTTCCACAAAAATAATAATACATTACCATGGGGGTGATTTGGGTTGAGGCTATCTGGTACCGAATGATTGATGTGGAACTTTTTAATAAGGGTATCACCGTTTTAATGCGAGATAACTCGTACGCACTTATGGAGAGATAACTCCTGCCAGCCACCTTGCAAGCGGTACCAGATAGCCTCAGCCATTAGACTGTACTGCAACAAAAAAGGGGGAGGACATGCGGCTTTTCAATGAAAATTGAAATATAAATTGATATTTATTTTAACTTTCACGTACACATGTAATTCTTTGGTTTATAATTCCATCAGCTTTTTGTGCAGACATGTATACGGAATTACGAAATCTTCATTTTCAAAGTTTATTGGGGGTCCAGAATATAACTGACAATCATGCAATAAAAAAATGCCCTAAAAAGCCAAAACTTAACTCGAAAAGCCTATTTTGTGAAAGGGGTGTGATGGTGGTAAAATTTAAGAGCATAAGGCATTTTCGAAAAAAAAAGGAGGCGTGGGGGGTGGGGGTGTGATACTACCTGCATGTTTTGGTGAGAGGTTATTTTTCTAAATGATTAACAATGTCAGAAGGTGGAATCTGAGATCCGCAAATTTGTATTTTCTTCTGCACTAAACTTTTGATACACATTTATTCCTTATTAATGCCTTATCTTCTGTATATAGATTTGTCACTAAACAGAAAAAGCCAGGTCAGATCGTGGCCTATTTTGACTTTTATTTTTATGTCAAATATTATCCCAATAAATAACACAATTTGATTAAATGAATTCGCACGGGAACTCAAGGTACTCGCGATATATTATCACATGCTTTCTTCTGAATGGAATTTCTTTTTCAATACAAGGAAATGAATCTTCACCGAAGACGACAAGTGCTAGTGTACTAGACGTAGCAGAAAAACTCGGAGCAACAACATTCCTGGATTTAGTTAAAAAAACTAACCTGACAAGGAATTTTACTCAGAAAGGTAAAGTTTACACTAAATTATATGCGTAGTATTCCATACGGATTTTAATGAAATTGATCTCTCTCTCTCTCTCTCTCTCTTTCTTTCTCTCTCTCTCTCACTGGATACATATATTTCACCCACAACAAGAGTTGGGGTTCTAGTCCATAAATACCTATCTATATTTATATAATAGTGTTGTGCTTTTACATATACTATGCCTAAATAGTAGTCAGGGTTTGACACATGGTGCACGAGCCGGAGGAGTAGGGAGGGGGAGGGGAAAATCAAATTCGTTTAAGGACCTTTTATACATGTATCAATATTTTTACATAGGTCCAATTACAGTATTCATTCCCTCTAACCAAGCGTTTAACGAGCTCCCAGAAGACGAGAGGAACAATCTCAAAGACCCCTCTTACGCCAAACTTATCCTACTCTACCACATCGTACACGGATACCACAAAAAAGCCAGCTTCCAAAATGAGGTCACATACAAATCGGAATCCAGGATTGAGGGAGGGGATGCGCTATTACAAGTTCGTCTTAATATTTATCATGAGGGAGAGGTAAGGCTTGGAGGCAATAGGGTATTTAAAAGATTCATTATTATTAAAGTAGAAGAAATTTAAACTTTGTTAGATTATGCATTCTTAGTTTATTACTTCTACGAGATAATATATTTTTTAGACCTAGCCATGAAGTTTGTCAGACAGGACTGCATTGTAGCTACAGTATACAAAGAGGATAAAACATTATCTCGAAAAGATGAAGATAACGGACTGATCAATCTTTATAAGTTCTGTAAAGAATGCTAATCGTGAACAGGGCAAAAAACATGAATCCCTGGAAACACCGGAGTATAGGATCGGGTGCCTAGGAGACGTAAACTATCCTCTCTTTTTTTTAACTTCAAGCAGGTCATTACAGCATCCGGAAGTCCAATGATAAAGTTTGACAACGAGGCAACCAATGGAATTGTTCACCTTCTATCACGTGTCATGTACCTACCTCCCACTTTTGGTTCGATTGCCCAGCTGACGTCCCTTCCGATTACACGTTATGTAATGTACGGGCTTATTGATGGGGGCTTAGCAGAAAAATTAAATAGTAAATAGCTGACTATTTTTATTTAAAAAAAAAAAGGCTGCTTAACTGAATATACGTGTACATTGACATTCTTTTTAATAGTTTGTTTCTTTCGTAAATAAACATCAGTCTCTTACCTTTTCAGGGAAGGAACCATTTACTCTTTTTGCCCCTTCAGACTTGGCCTTTGAGTCACTACCAAATAAGACTATGAACATTCTTATTGGAAACAAAACGGCTATTCGTCGTGAGTAGAAACACAAAGTTTTAAAAATTCAGAGTTTATCAATTCTAGATTTGTCTAAAGTTGTTTTAATCGGTAAGAAATGAATTATATCACAAAGGTGTATAAAAAGTTGTTCTCCAATTGATTAGAGTCTGTAAAAGTTCAATTGTATTCACAGCTAAGTGCTTGAGGACAGGTCCCTCTCCCGATGAAGACCCTGGACCTTTTCCGATTTTTGTCCCCCGCTTTAGAGAAAGCAAGGGGACATTAAATCTCATTCGTCTGTCTGTCTGTCTGTCCGTCTATTTACTTTAACCTAACTAAAACTTTAACCATGCTCATAACTTGAATAAGAGACAGGGCTTTCATATTTCACATATATATACACCACCTGTGACAAGACCTTTCCTAGTATGATTTTTGACCCCGTGACCTTGAAGTGTTTGACAAAAAAAAATGTACATTTCCTGTGACAAAACCTTTCCAAATATACTATGATTTTTGACCCCGTAATCTTGACCTTGAAGTTTGACTTACTTTTCAAACATTTTATCATTGGTGACGACTTTTGAATGAGAGAATCTAGGGCATTCATATTGGACATGTGCCTTACAAATTGTACTTGTGGCAAGACGTTTCCGAACATGCTATGATTTAATTGACCTCTTGATCTTGACCTTGAAGTTTGATCTAATTTTCAAAAATTAACATTGTTGATAACTTTTGAATGAGAAATGATAAGGCGTTCATATTTGTCGAATGTATAACCTGTGACAAAAAAGTTTCCCATAAATTGCTATGATATTTGTGACCTTAAAGTTTGACGTAATTTCACTAACTTTTGAATGAGGGATGATAAGGCATGTACATTTTACATGTGTATATTAACCTATTTCAAGTTCCTTTTATTCTATTTTTACTCTAGTTTTTGTCCTTGTGAACTTGACCTGTAAGTTTAACCTTCAGTCTTTTTCAAATTTTTTTTTTACAGTGGTAATATTTATTTTTACATGTACATTATGACAACATTATGACAACATTTTTCCAGTCAGTTTATACTTCATGACCTTGACCTAGACATTTCATGTATTTATCAAAAAAGTTAACTTTGGCCATAACCTTTGCCCCAGAAGAGACAGGGCTTTCATATTATTTTTCACTTGTGCATTTCTGTACTTGCGACAAAACCTTTTGGATTGTATTATGATATTTGACCTCATGACCTTGATCTTGAATTTGATGCAGTTTTGAGAAGCCTTACTTTTTGCCATAACTTTTATTAATTCAATAATTTATTATTTTATGGTGCACAAAGAAGACAGTTACAATATGCTATATATAATTGCATCCCAACCACTAAGACAACGATTTTATATCTAAATTTGCTTGATTTTCCCGTAACTTATCTCTTAAGGACATACTTGTTATATATGCTATCAATTAGAAAAAATTATCCAAAAACATTTTTTTTAATATAAAATGCATGTATTAGATGCTTTTTGGAAATAATGTCAGTTATTATATCACAAATATGTCTTTGAAATATAATTTATTCATGAGAAAAAAAATCCAAAACGTCCGGAGGTCCTTATCGGGGTGGGTGGGGGTGGAAGACCTATCCTCATTCCTCAAGCACCTGTTATTTTATCAATAAATTCTTTCCACGTGCATTCTTTAAGTTAGAAAACATAGAGCTATTTGTAAGAAACTTAATTTATCGTATATTATCCCGGTTGAACCTCAACTTACTAGTAAATTGGGCAATAATTTTAACTGTAATAAGTTCATGTTACAGGTGTAATGGAGAATCATATCCTATCCGGTACATATTTTACAGGTGTAATGGAGAATCATATCCTATCCGGTACATATTTTACAGGTGTAATGGAGAATCATATCCTATCCGGTACAATCATATCCTATCCGGTACATATTTTACAGGTGTAATGGAGAATCATATCCTATCCGATACATATTTTACAGGTGTAATGGAGAATCATATCCTATCCGGTACATATTTTACAGGTGTTATGGAGAATCATATCCTATCCGGTACATATTTTACAGGTGTTATGGAGAATCATATCCTATCCGGTACATATTTTACAAAGGGAATGAGACAAAACGATAGATTTACAACGATGCTAGGAGAAACTCTGACGGTCGATTCCATAAAAGGTGTGTTTTTAGAAAAAATCTGCCAAAACTCAGTTAAGATCAAAATCCATGTTTAAAAGGCCTTTAAAAAGAGGAAGAAGATAAAATACCGGTATTATTCAATATACGTCCTAGAATGTCGAATTTCATAAAGCAGAAAGATCCTTATATTTTGTACCAACAAGGTCTCCAATATTTGAAACTCTTGCTTTCTTTTATTATTTTCATAATTTATGACTGATAACGTATATATCGAGTTATGACGTCATTATGTTGACATCTTTTAAGGTAATGTTACTGTGAGTGGTTCCCTCCTGATACTTCCGGATTTTACGGCCACTAATGGAGTAGTACATATTGCCACCAAAGTCTTCCTACCCCCGGATATGTATTGATTTCGGATTTTGTCGAAAAGTTATTACAATCTAAAAATCTTAGATGTCTTTTTTTTCTCGGGTAATTTTGATGTAAAATACCTGTATAAAATGAAAGAAATGGAATAATAGTACATACACATACACGCACAAACTTAGGGAATTAAAGGACTGCCCCGACAGAGGCTTGAATAATTATAGAAATATTATAGAAATATGAGGTACATTGCACATGTTAACCATGCACATGAATTGAAAAACTGGATTAAAATTCTGGTTAATTAGTAGAAATTGTGAGTATTTAATTCCACATTTACATCTAGTACAATTTGCAGATATCAGTTAATTTTTTCTGCAAAAAATGGTGATCACAATATGACCTTCACAAAAATTCGACAAGCATAATTATACACTTGCATGTTAATCTTTCACAATTATTTTATACTTGATGCATGTTTTGTAAAATTGAGGCACTTTGTAAAACAAGAAGTATGTATGACAAACATTCGAAAGATGTGTAGTACTCCTTTCTTATTCGCACCTATAAATTTATTAACAGTGTATTAATAACAATGGCTACTAGTATAATTATCATTTAGATTACAAAAATTGCAGTTTAAGGTCAAATTCGTTTTTTTCTGTTCTTGTGAATGCCCGTTAATCTGTGAAGTTTCCCTCCCTTTTCAAATCAATCACAATCTCCATCAAAAGATTCTTTCGAATTGTTTTTATTTTAAAATATGATAAACGGCTTGAGACTCGTAATATTTATAAGCAAAACGATTCGTATTTTGTAAAAATCCCATCCATGCTAACATAAGATCACCAGTTGAGAGTAATGCAGGAAATTCCATTAAATGTTCTCGAGCATGTTTTTCATCAATACCAGCTAACATGTTCCAAAAGCGCACAAAGTTTTCATCAGTTAAAATATGATTTCGACCTTGCTCATGCGTAGAGAAAAAATCAAAAAACTCCGTTACACAACGGAGTACAGCTGACTGAAACTCTTGAGATTCAGTATATTGGACAGTAAAATTATTGTGGGTATTGCAGAATTGATCAAAGGTTATAGAATTCGTCCCTCTTCGAAAAATATGCGTTTGCCACCAAGTTTTAGATTTCTTTGGATCCAATGGTACATTTCTCTGCCTGAGGTATATGCGAATGGACTCCAGTTTTTCATTAGTATTGTTCATATCGGCTTGACTGATTATCCCATCCTTATCATGATCTAACATCCGAAACCACGCTTTCCATTTCATTCTCATGAACCTTTGCTCTGAAAAGAGTGTAATATAGTTTTACTAAAAGCATTTAATCAAATGGCGAATTTTAATATACGTAGGGAATAAGTATGTTATTAGAAAACATAATTCTGCATAAAGGAAAAAAAGGGGGTATCATTCTGTAAAAAAGATAAAGAAATGATTAATTTATTTATCATTATATGATATACATGCAGTTAAAGTATATCAGTGAGGGAGTGAGCAAGATTCCAGTTCCTCGAGGCAAGGACTATTTGACGAGGGGGAAAAAGCCCTGGTCAAGGGGAACTGGAATCTTGCTCACTCCCTCACTGATATACTTTAACTGTATATCATAAAATGATAAATAAATTAATCATTTCTTTATCTATTTTAGAGAATGATACCCCTTTTTATTATATCGATACAGATTTCGAAGAAGGAATTAGCTAACTTGAATATAACGCACGACAAAACGGTGATTAGTCCATTCACACCGATTTCTAAGGAATCATTCGTATATATAATGATCTAATTTTAAATCGGGAAAAAATAGTAGAGGTTTAATACTAAAATGATATGAATTAGCCCTTTGATAAATATAATTAATAGAATATTATAAAGTTTATACATGTATACTATGATTTCTAGTTTCTGAAAATACGTTTTCCCTCAGTAACAGTAACTTGGTAACTTCTCTCTTGAATTAAGAATCAACTTACTTTCGGATGGGTTCGACATCCAGAATATTATGACTAGTAGTCCTATCAGAGACTGTACAACTGATTGACATATATTGCTGTAGTATATGACGTCATAAAAGTTTGTGTCACAGTACCACGACTCATTTTTAGCCTTGCTTCCGATTTCCCTCGACTTGTTTACTGAATCGGAAGATATTTCAAAAATCTGAACACAGCCTGAAAGCAAGAAAACAAAGTCATGACTTCTGACGACACATTCCTGGAGTATCCTTTCTGGTATTTTTTCGTAATATACCAAAAATATTTTATATCATTATTGTCTTGTTGTCTCTAAACTGGTTGCAAATTTCCTCAAAACTATATTCCAAAACTTGTGATATCAACAATTCACGAGACTCCAAATGGGATTAAATAGGAAACACCACGCTCTTGCAGGGCTAGAAATAATTATTTTTGTTTACTGGTCACTCGGGCTATCGCCTTAAATTTTTACTGGTCAGCTTAGTACTTTCACTGTCCCACTGGGACAGTAGATTTTAAAATGACTAGCCCAAGACCATAATAATAATAGTAAAAAATTTTATATTGTGATACTTAGAAGTACACACTTAACAAAACAAGAAACCGCAGACCCTGTCAAGCTAACTAGCCCGACTGTGAATTAAGAGCCATTCAACTTTTATATAGGAGTTGTGGCACGCATAGTCTCAGAATTTCTCCAAACTCTCTATGATAAAAGTCTTTGATACCATAAAGGCAAATCAGGCAAAAATTAGTTGCTACGTGTCATGGTTACCATAGCAACGTATCCTAAAGTTTGAAAAATGGCATTTTTCAACATGTTCAGAGTCCCACAGTTAACGTTTGCGGCAAAGCAAACAAGTGGCAATGACTGTTTCCGAAAGTTGAAGGCCTGGTGTCTTCAATGCATGATAAACATGTTTGGTAAATCAACTATAGCCTACGTTACTATGGAAACAATGTATTCAAAAGTAATAATTTTGTTCATTTAATTTTATAAAGTCATACACTTAAGAATAAAAACAATTTTAGGTTGAAATGCAAGCAAATAATAGAAAAGAGATACTTGTAACATATACCAAGGACAAAATATGATATTTCTTATAGGTTGGCAATGGTTGCCACGGTTTTAATACCACGAAGGGATTTTAAATTTACTATCTTAGTGTTTTAATCTTATCCTATATTTTAAAAAGGCATATTTCTATATAACAGATGATCAATTGTTAAAGGCGTTGGTGTGACCCTAATTTTCACATTTCAAAAAAATCAATTTCAATTCTTTAAAAAGTGCTTTGCTATGAAAATAAGGCGAAAAAACATGCATAAAAATCTGAAAAATACTCTGTTTCCTTGGATACGTACCCTTGTATGTAGATTCCCAAAACTTTAATTATTGATATATGTCAACAACTAACCTGACTTTCAATTTTGACTACCACCCAATCTCTAACTGGATGCAAAAAGCTGGCACATAGGGTCGAATATTGACATAAAATTAACAAAATCGAACATTTTCTCTTCTTGGTAACCATAGCAACAATGTTGTATTTTTCAACATATCAATATATGATATTCAACTTTTGTTCTACGAGATAAGTACTATTCAAGGTGATTCAAATAATATATTTCTTGATTAAAAGGTTAGTAAATTCCTAAAGCAGCAAAAAAATATCACTTTAAACAACTAGTACGTTGTTTCCATGGTTACACTGCAAAGTAACAATTAATCTCAATTTTTCTTATGTTATCGGTGTTGCAAGGTCCTAAGGATGTATATGTGCCAGTCATGAACTTAATTGTTTTTCCTCACGATAGTAGCATTAAACCAATCATAGCAACATATTTTGCATGGTGCCACTGTGTTACCATGGCAACCATGAAAGTTATTTTTAGAATAATATTGTCAATACCTAACTACATAATGTCAAATATTTTTCATTGTTTTTCTTAGGTTGTTGATTGAGTTTGATCATGTAACATCTATCATTTGTGAATATTGAGCATTTTTCAGCATCTAAAATGTATTCCAAATGTACCCATGGTTACCACTTACTTAGAGATAAATTCTAAATAGTTTCTTTATAGCATAACTGGCAACAAGGTGTCATGTTTTTCGGAGAATAGTTTGTTTGTTTTTCTTAGTATTTATTAAGGCTTAATAAAGATTTAAAGTAGCTGAAAATCTCTATTTTTTCAACTTTTCTGGCTATTACCATGGCAACCAAGACACATAGCAACGAAATTTTGTTTGATATATGTTTCTGGTGTCAAGTTGTAATAATGGGCAAAGTTTCATCAAAATCGGTGACCATGCGTGGCAAAGAAGTTTAAGTCGTTACAGAGAATCGCTATTAATTGCATAAAAAATGCTGACCCAAAGGGCACATGCCCTCTGCAATGTAAACTAGCTCAGATTGAAAATTCACTGGCCCCAGATCAGCGGGCCATCAATTATTTCGAGCCCTGTCTTGAATCTTGAACAAATGCCAGGTAATACAATGTTTAACCCTTTTTGTGAGAAACTTGTTAAAGTACATATTGAGCAGTATACTTCAATCAGAAATTCTTGGGAAAAATTATAAATACAACTGAAGAACGTGTCATCAGACATTAATGCCAGTGTTTAATTACTATAGTACATGGATTTCTTAGGAGGTTCCAAAAGGAGGTCCCAGTTGTGATGGGGTCTACCTCCTCACTGGGACCTTATCTCTATAAATTGATTACGTAGTTATTGGATAATGTTCGAATTGATTGATGAAAATTTCATTTCGAACGCTATGATTCTTTTTATTTGTAAAAATACATATATAATTTATTTTTGAATTGTAATAGTACGAAATCAATTTAATAACATATGACATTTTGTTTTATAATTTATAGTTTTGTTTCAAATTTCTCTTAAACATCAAATTATACAATCCGACAGGTGACCCCCCCCCCCCCCTTCAATTAAATAAAGACATTTACTCACCAATTATCCATATTACATATAGATAAGTAATATAGACGAATAAAAGGACAACACGAATCAAATAATTGAACTGTTTGCTAAGAATGTCTTCCTCGCTTTGTCTCACTGGACGCCGATTTTCAGTCGCTGGTAACAGAACAAGGTAAAGAAACAAGTAAAACAGCAGGGAACCCCCTTCAATTCCCAATAACAGGGGCAAGGAGGAGGCTGCGGGGCAGAGGTCTATGTAGGTAATACCTAAAAATATCAAAAATACAAAGGGGAGTGCTCGAACATTAAGAAAATATATTGCGAATGTAGAAATCAACAGGAATGATTAGGTCTCTCTCTATCTCTCCATTTCCAATGGATATCTTGTAATTAAGAATTTCTAAAAGTTCATGATTGATTCTTAGATTTAGATACTAAATATATGTCATTCATACTGACGTGATGTATAAAATTTTAGAATACAATATATTGTTACAGTCTTTATTCCACGTTAGCTTACCCTCGTATGTATACAGGATTCCGAAACCCAGCAATAGCGCAAAAATTAAAAATCGCATATCTGAAATAAAGAAAAGAAACATGAAACATTGATAAGTATGGCATATCAGGCCCGTAGGAAGCAATTTCAGTTAGAGGAGGAGGGGTGGGGGGGGGGTGCCCTATCAAACAAAAATTCTTTGACAAGCAATACAAAAGAAAAAGGTCATCAGACGTAATATTTGAGAGGACACAAACATGAATTAGCTATGTTTGCTATAGTACGATATAATAAACACGTTCATCGTATTTCATTCATACTTTATCGCATATTTTTGCAGTTAAAGTTATTTTTTTGTCTGCAATGTTACATGTAGAGGTCAATTTGTCTACAGTATACATTTCAGTTATCGTATACTGTGTTAAAGGTAGGTCTAGGTATTGTGCCGACAAATCGACATTATGATAATTTCCTGACAAGTAGACATAATTTTCTGACAAATCTTCATAATTTTTTGACAATTTAACACTTATCTGACAAGTTAATATAATTATCTGAGAACTCGTCATATTTATCTGACAACTAAACATATTAATTTCGACAATTCATCATTATTATCTAACAAGTCGACATAAATTTTCAATGATCAATTCGACTTGCCAGATAATAATGTCGACTTGCCATATATTATGTCGACTTGTTAGGTAATGATGTCGATCGACTTGCAACATATAATGTCGACTTGTAGGATGTTATGTCTGCTAAGTCGACTAGAAAGAAAAATGTTGACTTGTCAGATGTCGACTGTCAGATGATTACATGTATGTCGACTTGTCAGATAAGTATGCTAGAAGTGATGTCGATGTGTCAGAAGATATTATTATACCTCTATAAGAATACTCAAATTTGATTGGCTTGTTAGAAGGCTTTTAAACTCAATAATGACTCCAAAAAGTACCTTTTACAGCAATAATGACCTAGGAATCATTGCACGTGGGGTATAATGACCGGTCAATAAAATTAATGACCGCTTAAAATGACCTGTTACTCCAAATTCCATTCAAATTAAAAAAAAAATATGCATACAGTAATGATTTTACATTACAAAAATTGCCGTTATAAAAATATGTATAGTATTTTTAGGATACGGAACACGATTGGCCTTTAGATGCGTCATAACATTTATCGTTTTCATTGAAATTAACTTTCGTTACAATACAATGTCAAATTCAACGAACGCAGACTCGGCTCTCTTGTACACTTAAAGTCTACACCAGATTGTCATTGTAGTCGGGAATGGTATCTGTGAATTTATAAAAATGCAATGTTACTGACAATCACAGAGTGTTTTAATAAATCGGCGGTGCAAAAACTTACAAGACTAGCAGCCGAAAAGTGAACAACTTCACTAGCGAATCCCGATCCCGATGGAACACTGATAACAGTTCATAGGTCTTATACATGTAATTGATTATTTTAGTAATTAAGCTTACAAAAATTGCCTTAACTTATATCGGTATAATAAAACAATTGATTACCCCTTATGAGTTCAATATGGTAAAATAAGGACCCTCGACCTGGCCCACTCGCTGACCTGACCTGACCTCGGCCGCTACGCGGCCTCGGTCAGGTCAGGTCACCTCGTGGGCCAGGTCTCGGGTCCTTATTTTACCATGTTGACCGCATAAGGGGTAATTAATTGTATAATGTTGACTTGTCAGATCCTTATGTGGATTTATCAGAAATATAGGTTGTCAACTGGATGGCACAAACTGGGCATGAGCACGTTTTCATGCTGAATGTTTAACCACGTGAATAAGTACCAAGTTAACAACAAGATCTGACAAGTCAATATAATTATCCAACAAGTAATATCAGAAACAATGAATAAGTGTCAAGTCAACAAAAAAGCTGACGGGTTGATATAATTATCTGAAAAGTGTTTACAGAAACACATGAATAAGGGACAAATCCACAAAAAGCTCTGACAAGTCGATGTAATTATCTGACAAGTGCTGACAAAAACACGTGTATAAGTGACAAGTCTACAATATAAGACCTGACAGGTGATATTATGATTAAATGATTAGTGGTAGCAGATTCATCCACCATTTAAATGAGATTATCAAATGACTTAGGTAAAATTACACTGATAATTACCTGATTTTTGACACAAACAGCCAGTCTTCTCCCAGCAGGATGGGGGCTCATCTTCATATACACTCGCCTTCTTGTTAGCAGGTGGCGGAGCCAAGAATAACGAGATATAAGAAGGGGGATCGGGCCCTATTGAGAAAGAAAGAAGGAATGTACTTTTCCTGAATCCCATACATCTTCTCTGGATTTTTATAATGTGTCACTTGATACTTACAGAGCGACATGTTTGAGCGTAAGAGGGCGGAAAATTTGTACCTTGATGCAAAACCTCTTGGAGATCAGAATATTTACCAAGATTAATTACTTTCCTTTATACCTTAAAATTATACTTTGCAAAAGTATTTCGAACTGATTTATACTTTAAGTACAGCTAGTACAATTTACTTTTTGAACTGGGATTAAAATATATATTGATTTTAAGCTTATGTTTAGCTTTAGATTTTCTTATACATGAGAAGAAGAAAACACTGGCTGTGACCTTCAGCTCGACATTTAGATATATCAACAACGTATTATCAGTTAACAATAGCTACTTTCATTCATATGTCGACTCGATATATCCAAGTGAGCTTGAAATAAAAGATACCACAGAGTCTGACACATCTGTTTCATATTTGGATATTTTACTAGAAAAAGACGTTAATGGTAACCTATCAACCAAGCTTTATGATAAACATAATTTCAACATTTCAATCGTCAACTTCCCTAACTTCTGTAGCAATATACCCTTATCACCTGCATATGAGGTTTTTGTCTCCCAGTTGATTCGATACTCAAGAGCATGCTCTACGTACAAAAATTTTAAAACGAGGCAACCTATCGACAAACAAGTTGATGAAACTAGAAAATCAACAGTCTCCTTTAAAGTCATCATTTCGCAAGTTCTATGGTCGATACAATGACCTTGTCAGCAAGTACAATCTATCGTTAAGTCAAATACTGACTGACTTTTTTCATACTAATTGTTAGGCCATTATTTACACACTGAATGTCTACGGATTTTTCCGTTTTCCCTGTTCATAACAAGGCCAGGAGCACAAGGCGGGTGTGACCGGTCGGCAGGGGATGCTCACTCCTCGATGGCACCCGATCCTACCTCTGATTTGTATTGTATGAGCGGACTTTTGAGCTTGAATACTGAACGTTTTCTCATTATTTCATGGTTTCACTGACCTCGAAGTCGTTCGAAGTCTCCGATCTTAAACCTACTTTGAAAAAAAATCACTGAATTTTGTACCTTTCAATGCGGCGAGGGACAGACATTGTTATATAAAACTAGAACTGCACATCTGAGGGCATTAGTACTGACCGCTGAAATTGACCTAGCTTTGAAATAATCATATAAAATCAGTTTTTCCCTTTTATTACCTGTTTATTATTTAAGTATTTATTTATTTACCACGCGTGTGTCTTGTCGAGAAAAAATTTATAAAATGCAAAAAAATGTTACTGCAGGTATACAATGTCATGTACTTATCTTAACATTGTTTCTGACGTAAGTAAAGTTTAATATGCTACTTCATGTGTATTAAGCTTTTAAAGTTTGGAATGTTCTTATAATTTATATGGTATATGAAAATTCATACATATTAAAAGAAATCATATGATCTGGATAAAAATATTGAGATACTATTTTTCATTTGCCTATTTGATTAAATTATCCTAAATTTAATCTCAAGTTCCGTATTTTATTTTAGCAAAACGTCATGAACATAAGTATTATATATACATAGATGCATGTAAACAAGTTCAGTAACAAGATCAATCGACACTATTCCCTCTGTTTACCTACTTTTTCCAGGTGGTTGCGCTGAAAGGATCGGCGGAAGTTTAGGGTAATACCCCTCATCGGCCGGAGGAATAATACTCCCCTTTTTACCTCCCTGGACCGTCCGAACATCCAAAGGTTGGACGGACATTTGTTAAATGTATATCCTAAACGTACCAAAATGTCGGATATTTATTTTCGACTCAAAGAACTAACAAGCTAGAATTTAAACCTTATCTACAACAATACATGTATATAAATCAAGGATCAATACGACATTTAAATATTCGCAATGTGCTTTGACCCAATGTGTGTACATGCGTTTTTAGAACTAATTCAGTTGTAATGAAATAAAGATTTAAATGCTTGGATCGCTATGAAGAAGGTTTTTATGTATAGAAATTTACAAAAATAAAAAATAAAAATTTCATTCCACAAGCAATGCAACAATTGTAATTTTTTATTTTTATTTTATTTATTTATTTATTTTTTTTTTGATATTTCGTGTATTGATACCCTCCTTATATATATATATATATATATCTTTCTCGCAGAATAATGTGAATTTACATTGAATTGTAATGGTTTTATGTAACAGTAACCATTTTTGATATCACGTCTTTATGCAACATTGTACATGTATAACAAGGCTTTCATGTAATCATTACCCAGGCAAAGAAAAACAGAACACAAATAAGATCAACTTTATTAAAACCCGAAAAATTCAATGATAGTTGTTAGTTATGTTGGTAGCATTATGTATTTTAGGACTGTTTATGTAAATGTGGATATATTTGAGGGAAATAATATCTCCAAGTTTTAAAAATTTTATGGAGGTTAATTGTATAGAAATGCAGAAATAATTTTATAACTTAAGAAATTATAAAATTTTCCAAATCTTCTCGAAAAGGTCCCCTCCTCTTCAAACAAAATCTATAACAAATATTTCCACAATTACAGATATATGCTTAAGGTTATATATAACTACATATGATTTTTATTGTACCAAGGAATTTTAAATTCCTAACTGATGTCAAAATATTAAACATGAATCGGGATTATTGTGCTATTGTCATAAACGTACATTGTATGCACTCTTATAAACAAAAGTAATATTGAAGGAGTTCGTTCATGGAAATAGTTCTAATATAACATATTATTTACAGCAGGACAGTCCATTTAGAATAAACTGGAATCAGACGCTTTTATGGCGGTATCAGTTTATCCTGACGTCATGTGGTTTTTAACGTATTCTTTTCGAACATCCATGTCGTCCGCTGGTCTGTTGTGTGGGGTCCATACAGGTTCCCCGACAAAGTAACGATGAGCTTTTATGTAGTTCTACAAAATCAATTTTATATTAAAACTAAAATGATCTCATTCAAAATAAAAAAACAAACAAATTTAACAAACAAATACAATTTGAAGCAAGCAAATTAGCTGTTATACATAACAGGAATACAAACAAATAGTTCAACTATTGTAGGCACCGATCTTTCATGGTATCAATTTTGTGTTAATATAAGAATTAAAAGTGAGTAATATACCAACAGTAATACACACTCAAAAACTAAAGGAATAACATGGACGTTGTTTAACATTATCGAAGTTACATATAAAAATCTTTGCTCACTGTCATGCATATTTTAGTCTCAATCATTTAGACGTTTTCCTATTAGAAAGCGGGATAGTCGAAGCGTCTTGGTGATCAAGTCTAGCATATTTTCTCACCTTTTCATCAAGAGTAAACCTATGGTAAATGCCCGCCGGAAGAATGATCAGGTCATTTGGAAGCACTTCAATCCGGATCCATTTGTCATTTTTGTCGCGGACATCGAAGTAACCACTGCCCTCTGTAATGTAGCGAATCTCTTCGTCTGCGTGCAAGTGCTCCTCAAAGAAAATCTTCAACTGCAAACCAATTTTAGAGTACATGAAAGACGAAGTTATCACCGACCATGACACATATATATATATATCTAATAGAAAATTTTTCAGTCGAAAACAAACCAGAAAACAGATGAAATGACCAGCGTTCATACAATGAACTTAAGGTCTTGCATTCCTACTTATATCAATATTCAAGGTAATTATTTGTAGATCATCAGGTGAGCTAAAAAGAATTCTACTATGAATTTAAGGTTTGACGATACGTCCCTTGAATATCTGCTTTGGAATCTCTTTGTAATATACCAAAAATATTTATAATTATTTGAATCTTTTGATTTCTAAACTGTTTTCAATATATGTCTGAAAAAATATATAAACCAAATTAAAATCGTGATATCAGCAGTTCAAGTGATTTCCCCAGGAAAATTCTTTAAGTAGCAATATTTCAATTATAAATTCTTGGGGAAAATTATATACTTTGACCAATTTTGTGTCGTCTGACCAATTCGCTTTCCTCCGTATATATTAATTACTACCATTTTACCAGGGATCGATGTTTTCTAAGAGGTCGATCCGTGTTTTCTGGGGAGGTGGGCTTACAGTGTCATCTTTTCCTTACTTATCTATACAACTTTGAAAACTCTGAAAATCTCGGGAGGGGGTCTCCTGACCCCCTTCCCCCCGCGATCCTGACATCCCTCTACAAGTGCATGTTTGACAGCACTGAGATCTCTTTATAACACATTAATCCCCCCCCCCCCCATATTAGAGGCTGAATACCTTCTCCTCGTAGTTAGGCAGTTTGTCCCTGCTACACGTGATCTCGTCCTGGTATGTGTACCCTCGGTCCTTACGTAATTTATTCACCTGTTCCTCGGCCTTAGCAGGGTCTGAGCTGATCTATCAATAATTATTATCATAAAGTTTAATCAACAATTTATAGTTATATGATGTATATGTTTTTCAGTGTGTTGTTTCAACTTTTGTAATATTATGTTTAAATACTAGTAGTACCAACAGCTGGGTTATTCATAAGACTTTAGTGAAATCAAAATTGAGGCACAATAGAATCTTTGTTCTCTCCCCGGTCAGAATAGTAATGTAGGAGATATATATGTACAGTAACTAGGAACTGTTCAAAGTAGAATGGTAAAAAGACTGTTTTTGCGTTTCAAGTATATCAAATATATATATTTTTATATATATGATTGAACAACCCAACTCCTTTTTAACTTTCCACATGCAATCAATGCATTAACATTTAATACATGTACCAACAAATAAAAAATTGAATTAATTTACATAAATTAATTTTTTATAGTGCGAGACACACTTTTGATGTCGGGGTCACCGACGAGTCGGTACCCAACACGCTTTGTCCTCCAGTTGCTTCGGTCCCAATTTCTATTGTTTTCACTATATCATTTTATATTATAACTGCATAATTTATGTATAACAGCTTGTTCTATCTGTCGTATTAAATTAATGTTAAAGAACATATGGTACTAGTATCAAAATTTTTTTTTTGGAATTGATTCGTGGCTAAATATTATGTTCTTGATTTCATAATTTATATCCTTTTATTGCATGTGAATTCCTCTCATGCATGCATGATATATATGTACAGTAACTAGGAACTGTTCAAAATAGAATGGTAAAAAGACTGTTTTTGCGTTTCAAGTATATCAAATACATGTATATATATTTTTATATATATGATTGAACAACCCAACTCCTTTTTAACTTTCCACATGCAATCAATGCATTAACATTTAATACATGTACCAACAAATAAAAAATTGAAATAATTTACATAAAATAATTTTTTATAGTTTAACAAATAAAGAAAAAAATTGTGTGGATTAAGTCAAGTGAGAGTGATACATGTATGTTACTTATCAAGCTAGGTAATTTTTTAATCAATATTTTTAAAATAAGAAATATAGTGCATTATATAATCTTTAAAACGAACCAAATAAATGTAATACTTTAGTACAAATATACATGTTACAACTTTTTGTACGTATATTAATTATATTTTTTGTAAACATTTATATAGATAATCTCTAGATTTAAAAAAAATAATTAATTTTTTTTTTATGTCTACATGTTGCTGCTATCAGTTCTGAATTTCTTCTTATGTGTGTTCCTTTCTACTTGTGTCCTCTACAAAAAATTGGGAATTTTTCAATTTAAATTTGTATATGAAAATTTAAATATGAAAAAATTCTTATTTTTTTTTAGAGGACATTTGTATATACATGCCCCAAGGGTCCCAAATTGGTTTCAATAATTAATCTACTACCAAAATGTTTTAACTTAAGCATGCATGTAAAACTCTAATATTCGAACAAGGGTTAATCGATCATTTTTTTTAAGGAACTTGTATTTTTTTTGTGCGCAATAAAGTTACAGTTTTTTCAATAAGTAGCACCGTAGCGCTCTGGTCGTCCATCCCAATTTTTTCAGACCATCGCGCTTCAGATCTGCAGCTTAAGATATCTGATTAGATAGGGCGAGGGGCATAGGTACTGCCGAGGTCCCAAAAGGGTCATTCAAGGGTATTTTCCAGTGGGGGGGGGGGTGTTTGGTGAATTAACTCCTATTATAATTGTTTTTTTTTTTATATAAACTGATATATTTTGCTTATAACTATACATTGCAAAATTTAAAGATAACCTTCAATAAAATATATCCTTTTAAAAAATATCATTTTACATAATGCATAATATAATATATGAGGTACATGGGTATATTTACTGGGGCAAAAATATAAGGTAAACAAGTTCTCGGAGGTGAACCGTGAAAGTCATTCACATACACAATGAGCATAAATCATTGGTTATATGTGCTCCAACAGATATACTTATTTTTAAATATATACATGATATATATGAAAATTGTAAATAATGATTTAAAAGAATCAAATTACCCCTACCCCAACCAGGAAAATTTTTACTTTTTCAAAACAATTTTCAGCTTAATTTCTTTTCATCACTCTACCATAAAATGAAATTGAGGACCTACCTCAAAATACAAAACTCCCAGATCCTTCAGTTGATCCAACGTGACGAATTGTGGGGGATCCGTCATATGGGGTTTCCTCTGGTCTTCAGTCACATCGTTCATGTGCCATGCTCGAACCATCTTTGAAATTTACAGTGAATCGCTTCTTGTTTTTCCACGTGCAGTCTTCCAGCTAGGAATGACACAATTTTAGCGAGACACACTTTTGATGTCAGGGTCACCGACAAGTCGGTACCCAACAAGCTTTGTCCTCCAGTTGCTTCGGTCCCAATTTCTATTGTTAGGAGGCTTTAACAAATGTATATTTTTCAGAAAAACAATGCTTCCTACCCCAAAATGGCCAGTATAAAAAGTTAAATTTGGTTGAATAATGAAGGAATATGGGCATGTTGACCTCCAATATGGCGGCCAACGGGAAATAACTCTTGCTAATTTGGGCCTACTGAAAACTATCTAATAAGTCATAATAACAAAAATACACGTATTTGACCTTTGAAGTTTCTTCCAAGTAACCGTCAAAAACTTGTTTGAGTACATAATTATGTAGATTATTAATCTCGGCAGAGATTCGGATCGGCTAGATATTTGGACTGACACCTCTACCGAATCTCGGGACAGTCCTTCATATACAGTTCAAAGTTCAGACCCAACTTCGATCGCTTGTCGTCGTTAAAATCAGGGAATATCTGTGTTTTGCCTGCTTCAAATTTGCAGCTTGAATATCTTTCTAACTATTTTATTTAAATGAAATCTCTTTGTCTTATCTTGACTTAGTATTTCTCCAACAATTTTTACAGCTAGTGTATCGATCTGTACACGTAGGAAGCAAATTCAGTTTGAAGGGGGGGGGGGGCACAGCCATACATTTTCAGTTGATAGCTGAGGGAGCACTACGAAAAATTTCCTGACAAGCAAAAAAGGGGGGTCATCAACTACCCCTGTGCCCCCGGTTCCTACGGCCATGCTGTATTATCTCCATTTTCGCTCATCTAGAGCTCCTCGAGAAGCTTGTCTAATGAAGATGATGCACAGAAATGGGCATTGATCGAAAGCCTCCAAATGACTCTGTTGGAACTCATTTATTTTAAAAAAAGTATAAAAATGGCGGTTTGAATCGAAGCAAACACAGGAGCTAGATAAATTGTTGGAATTACCTTATGTAATGGACAGAAATGTGCATTGAACGGCAATGAATATGATAAGTAAAAGGATGGCTGAGGAGACAAAATGAAGCGAGTGGGACACAGGTATGTCCCGACTTTAACCGCGACAAGCGGTTGAAGTTGGAGCTAAATTTCTAGACATGAATTGTCAAGGACTGTCCCGAGATTCGGTGAAGGCGTCAGTCCAAAGAATGTCTGCCGAGATTAGTAGATTATGTTATTGTATCGGTGTAACGACAAAAAGTGACCCCCGTAGAATATTGACCTAGGATCATTTGTCTACGTAGAATTTTGTCCCCCTGGTCAATAATGACCCACTTTTTAGAAATTAGAAATTATGCCCTTGGGGTCATTTTTCTCCATTTGGATTGTAGAAAACTGACCCCATGTCATTTTTTGAAAAAAAGCTGCATGGTTTTGGCAGGAAAATTCTTGTTAGGCAGATACATAGGGCCTGGAGGAATCTTGTCACAAAAGGGGTAGCAGGCATAGGTAAGTAAGTAAATACATAGGGGTTACATCACGCAACCTTATGATATGAAGTGTTCATTTCTAAAAGCTTTAAAGTTTAAATGATAAAATTAAAAGGTAATACTATACTTTACATTAATAATTCAAGATGTTTTTTTCCCCATTAAAGGAAAGCCTAACGGGGCTATAATGATGTTCTATCACTATTAAAGCAAGAATACATTTACGTACATTCTTTGATTTGTTTTATCACATTTAATAAATTAAAAGTTTCCACATTTGTAATTATTTTTAAAAAAATCAAGATCATTTTCTTAGCTGGTGTAAGAAAGTGAAACATATAAATAAAAAAAATGTGTAGCTTCCATAATTGTAATCCTCTTTGATTTACTCTGGGAAAATTATGTGCAACAAATAAAAATATAGTCTTCCTTTTTTCTTTAGAAGTTATAAGAAAGGTTGACGTTTTGGAACCCTACCCAAATAAATCTGCGTGAAAAAATGGAAGATTGAATAAGAAAATTCGATCTCGTAAATATATTTGTTTTTGTATAAATAAAGTCTCAGACTTCTTCTCACAATATAGAAGGGAAGATTACATTTGTGAAAAAATAACACAGAACTAAATCAACATGCCTCTGACCTTTGATTTCAGGGGTACAGAAAGTGATTATCTCAAAATCTTTATCAATGTCTTTTGTTAGTGTCAACAAAGTCTTCTAGAAAATGAGGCTTTTTGCATAAAAAAAATGATTGCTTAAAAAAAGGTGTTTGGAATACCAAGAATTGACACAAGTTTATACACGGTAGTATCGTCTTTCACCTTTCTCATTACATGTGAAAATTTTTGCCAATAGAAAAAAAACCCCAGAATGTTGCATTATGAAAAAAGCTTTTCAGTCTAATTTATATAATTTTTTTTCCTGAGTATGATTGGCAATATTAGCACATTTGAAGTTGCGTGTGCAAAAAAATATAGAACTGTACAAAAAAGTATTGTAACACATTGTGTTAGAATCAAGTACAGTGTACCATTTGAGATTCGTATAAGCGTATCTATAGTGGCGAGTTTTGAAGGGGTTATTAGTATCCTATAGGAAAAAATTCCCTTCTGGCCATGTACGTCTTTCCTATAAACAAATTAAGCGTTCTTGCTGTCTGGAACGAGGTTTAAGAATATAGAAAGGTTTTTAGGATAAAAGTGATTAAAAAAACCTTTTCCTTTCACCGAAAATACTGTTAAAAGGATTGTATTTACATAATGCATATGTGCATTGTAATGCAGGTTGTTGTAAATTCATTACGATTTAAAAAAAAATATCTCTATAATGTTACATGGCTTGAGGAGGGCGGTATGCGCGAAAGAGGCAACGTTGTAACAATTTTTAAGCATACAATTTGCTTTTTTTGTTGAATAGCTCTTCTGCTTAATGAAATGATTGTAATTTTCCCAGAAGCATGGCTAAGGCCTGTTATATGGTGAACATTTACTCAAATTACATTGATGGCCTAGCGGTAAATCATTTGACACTATCCATTCAAAAGCTAAGGTTAGTAGAGTAGAACCATGGAACAAGTAAAGGTTACATGTAGGTTTTATTAACAGTATGCATTTGAATAAAGAACCAAACGAACATTCATATGCAATCAGAAAATATGACATACCGGGTAATGCGTAGAACAACGAGGGAGTCATGATGCAAAAGTATTTTGGCCAATATTCAACGCAACGACAAGATATATGAACAGGACAAAAATTATAAAAATATAAAATTGAAGTAAACAGAATGCATACAAGAGAAAGGGATAGTGAATGTCAAACCATTATTACATACTTGGTCAAATAAAGAATATCTTATAGAACTCCTCTCAGCATGTGGATAATTTAGATACTTTTCATAACGGTACAACAATCAAATAATATCCAACTGGGATTTCAAGCTGACATATCATCCTCCTTGCATGTTAGTAAACATATAAGTATTGTCCTTCAAGCATATAAAATTCTTCTTCATTAAATACGCAAACAAACAACGCAATGATCTAATTGAAATCTGGGAAGCAGTATTTTCTGTTGTGTGAAGTTATCGCCCGTATTATTTTAAATTGCATTCATTTCTTGCAAAAATAAACATTTCTGTTAAATCCATTTTAAAGTAAAAAGATCAAGAATAAATATTTTTTAATTTATTTTAAAATAATTATCAAATATTTTCTCTTTTTTGTAGAATAAGTATTTTCCCCATTATTTTTTATTGTAAAAACTATGAAACATCTATGTATTAGGCATATATATAATTAATTTTCAAGGCTAAAGTAAAACCGTGTCAGACGGACAAGAAATAAATAAAGAGAGAGAGAGAGAGAGAGAGAGAGAGAGAGAGAGAGAGAGATATTGTGTGTGGGGAAAGAGAAAGTGTGTGGGGAGAGAGAGAAAGTGTGTGGGGAGGGAGAGTATGTGTGGGGGGAGAGAGTGGGGAGGAGGAGAGAGTGGAGTGATGGGAGAGAGTGGAGATAGAGAGTGTGTATGGGGAGAGAGAGTGGGGAAAGAGAGAGAGTGGGGAGAGAAAGAGAGTGGGGAGGGGAAGAGAGAGCGAGAGTGGTGGGAGAGAGTGTGGAGAAAGAGTGGGGAGAGAGAATGTGGAGTGTGAGAGAGAGAGAGAGGAAAGAGAGAAATTAGCTAGAATGAGAGGGGAGAGTGATAGCAGGTGGAGGGGGAGAGACGGGAGATGGAGAGAGTGGTGTTGCAGTTTCATTTAAAAGTTATATAATTTGTTTTGCATATACAACTGAGCTGACTTTGATGTTTTTGTATTTTTGATGTTGTAAACTTTGCTTCTTTGGTATGGGTACTTCAAAATTTACTCTTATTTTGACCCGCTTGATATCATACTTGTATATTTCATCTACTCATATAAAACATTGTATTTAACTTGAATGTATTTCAAGTTAATTTAACTTGAATGTGTTCATTGTGTTGCAACTTACCAATCAGTTCTCTACATGTTTTCCAGTCTCTATAACTAAAGCGCACTTTCTTTACTCCTCGCTAAAATAAATACCAGAAAATAAAACCTTAAAAAAGTGGTACTGATACTCCTTCATACCTTCTCATTATCAAAATTTGACAAACGTCTAGACTTTACATTTGTAGAATTATGAATTGTCTTTATATGTTTTTTAAGAGCTTGGTAATATAGATAGCAGAAAACATGTAGATGGATGAAAGGATAACTTACAATACATGCAAGTTTAGTATCTTGTTTACCACAAGTAGACGAAGTGTACAAGTAAATGATATCAAGCGGGGTAAAATTACAGTAAATTCTTAAGTTGTATGTTCGGAACTACATGCTAAAATTAATCGGAATTACCTACTTACATGTGTAGACTATGAACCTGCCACGATTGCAATTTCGGATTTACAAACTTACAAGACTGGATGTTTGAACATGCACGATTACCCTCCATACTTTAGCACCCTATTCTCATGAAGGCTGCCTTTTTACTTCTTTTGTTCAGAAGAGGAACGAGTGTGGGAGGGGGGCCCTTACATATATGTAGTAAATGAAATAGT